ACAGGAAGGGCATCCGGCTACTAAAACACTCTGCTAGCTCCATTCAGTTGCCCAGATTCCATCCCGCAAGGGATTAAGGCAGTGGTGGGATTCAAGTAATTTAACAACCGGTTCTCTGCCCTAATGATTTCTTCTAACAACCAGTTTTCCAAACTGCTCAGGAAGTTAACAACCGGTTCTCCCGAAGGGGTGCGAACCGGCTGAATCCCACCACTGGATTAAGGGGTCATCAAATGAAGATGACGATGATCTTAACTTCAAACAGTCGTGAAAAGAATGGTGATAAATCGAGAATGACCTGTATTAAGCCCCAGACAAGGATGATCAGATGTTACCACCTGGAGGAGAATAATAGGTCAGATGGACTTGCAGTTGAATTGCTTACTCTGCTAACAGTAGCTTTAGCTTAGCTCCTGCAACTGTTTCTATTGTATGTGCTTCATTCAGTTGCTCCTGATTATTTATTTCTTTATTTTTTTTAATGAATCTTGCTGCCAATAGCAGAACTGGAACTCCATCTGGCATCCGAAGGTGAAAGGTTCCTGTATCTCGTCAATGATTAACTTGGCTTTTTTTTCTTTTTTTACAATGTACAAGAGATACAAGCAAAACCAAGAGAACTAGATCAACATTTCCTGTTTCTCCTGTTCCTGGTGTTAGGGCTGCTGGCGACAGACTAAGTGGAAGCAATTAAATTTGGATAAGGAAAACTGGTATCCTGAGTGCACTAATTCGGCAAAGTTGGCTTCTGAAAATAAAAGCCCGCTATATAATTAAGCGTGGCAAACATAATAGCTGTACTGTATTAAGATGTCTCTGGGTGATTGCAAAAAGCTAGCAGGAATTTGGACTCCTTAGGAGTAATAATAGAAACAATAGAACAGAACAGAATAACAGAGTTGGAAGGGACCTTGGAGGTCTTCTAGTCCAACCCCCTGCTTAGGCAGTTCATTTAGTGACCGTTCAAAGTTACAACGGCATTTTAAAAAAGCGACTTATGAGCGTTTTTCACACTTACGACCACTGCAGCATCCCCCATGGTGGTGTGATCCAAATTCAGATACTTGACAACTGACTCGTATTTATGCAATGTCCCGGGATCATTTGCGACCTTCTGACAAGCCAAGTCGATGGGGAAGCCAGATTCACTTAACTATGACCTTAACTTAACAACTGCAATAATTCACTTAACGCCGGTGGCAAGAAAGCTCGTAAAGTGGGCCAAAACTCACTGAACAAACCTTCCGCTGAGCAACAGGAATGTTGGGCTCAATTGTGGTTGTATGTTGAGGACTACCTGTACATTAAGCCTACACCGAAGAGAATCTACTACATTTTGTGCATATGCTAAACAGAATTGGAGGTCTGCCGGATGGAGGCAGTAAAAGCTTTGGTACCTGTAGATGGAGGACGCTGGGCAGCGAAGGTGAGCGGTGGATTTTTGTTGGGGATGGTAGTTGGTAAAGACCAGGAATGGTACCCAGTGGGGCTCCTCTTGGCAAGCAAAGTATGATGTGTCACAGGGCACTTGACAGGTTTCTATTCTCAGCTCTGGTCCCCGTTGTGGCAACATCAAGTACTTCCGCCTAGCCATCCCACAAGGCAAAGGCATTTCCTCCTCAGAGTCCATCGTAGTCAGCTGGGCATAGCAAAACCCCACTTGCTTCCGTTCCCCGGGATGGCCACAGCGATCGCAAGACTGCCAAGGACTCCAGGAGGTGAACAGGGTGGCCTGGGCTCCATTGTCGAGCTGCACTGTAGAGTTGCCCAAGGTGGCCTCTCCCAGGCCTGCGTGTGACACATGGAGACGCTCGGCATCCTGAAAGTCAACCTCATAATAGCCAAGGGTGGCGTCTCCTGCACGACAGGTATACAACCCAGAATCTTCTAGACTGGGACTTGGGATATACAGGTTGCCGGCAATCAGTCGGGATTTGAAACTGAGTCTCTGCAACTTGTCATAGGTAACTAAGGGCCAAGAAGTCCCGCCTGAGCGTAAGAAGGTGAGTGGTTGCTCATCGCTCCAAAATGGGTCCAGGTATTGCCAAGTGATGTACCCTCTGGATGAAGAGCGCGGACAACGTAGGATGATGGGGTTATTGGAGATAAAGGCTAACACGCAAGGTTGGCCAGGGAGACATGGCTGGCCCAGCGAGTGGCCTTCATAATGGCTACCTTCATTGATGGTTAAGAACAGACCCAGAAACAAAGCCAACAAGGGTGCCCAACAGGACATGGCAAGCTGGATACTGACCTATTAAGAAAACCCAGGGAAGGAAAAATCCAGCTGTGACACCATTCCTGATGTCATAATAGGCAGAACAATGCTGCTGTTAAAACTGGCCCTTGTTCTGGAAGACTAGATACCCAACCAGGTACAGAAGTGGTGGCGAATCTTTTCGGCACCAAGTGCCCAAACCGGAACGTGCATGCATGTGCGCGTGCCAAGTGCCGGAACCCTGAAGACTAGCTGGCCAGCACACACACACTGGTTTTTTGGCTGTTTTGGGGGGCATTTTCAGGCTGTTTTGAGGCCGTTTTGGGGAAGTTTCCAGGCTGTTTTTGGCCCAAAAAAATGGCCTGGTTTTTTTTTTGCCATTTTTTGAGGCGTTTTCAAGCCATTTGGGGGCCTTTTTTTGGACATTTTCCAGTCATTTTGGGGACCATTTTCCAGCCATTTTAGGCTGTTTTGGGGGCTATTTTCTGGCCATTTTTTTTAGCTGTTTTCAGGCCATTTTTCAGAAACCAGAAGAGCAGCTGACGATGGTGCGTGTGCCCACAGAGAGGGCTTTGCGTGCCACCTCTGGCACGCGTGCCATAGGTTCGCCGTCATGGAGGTACAGTATTGATTTAGCATCCTGGATGAAATCTATCTATCTATCTCAGCGAAGATTTCACCTGGAAAATCAACACGATCCAGGTGGCCAGAAAGGCCCAACAGAGACTCCACTTCTTTAGGGTCTCGCGAAAAAACAAAGTGGAACAACTGATGATCTCCTTTTACCGGTCCGCAATAGAAAGTGTCCTCACTCAGTGCATGACGGTGTGTTATGCCAGCTTGACAGCCGCGGATAGAAAGACATTACAGAGGGGGGGTGAGCACAGCACAAAACATTGTGGGGTGTCCCCTGATACCACTAGATGACATCGCTAGGCCTCGCTGACTGAGAAGAGTGAGGAAAATCCTCAGGGACGACTCACGCCTTGGTCAGCACTTCTTTGCCCCTCCTTCCATCGGGGAGGAGATATAGAAACATAGCCAGCCGCACAAAAAGGCTGAAGAAGAGTTTTTATCCATGGGCTGTCAGACTCCGCAACAACATAGTATGATTGACTCAGGGGAGGGGAGGCCACGACGTTCAATAGGTTCACATCAGGTGGGTTTCAAATTTTTTTACTACCGGTTCTGTGGGTGTGGCATGGCTTGATGGGCATGGCAGGGGTAGGATACTGCAAAATCTCCATTCCCACCTCACTCCAGGAAAAGGATACTGCAAAATCCCCATTCCCACCTCACTCCAGGGGAAGGATACTGTAAAATCTCCATGCCCACCTCACTCCAGGAAAAGGATACTGCAAAATCTCCATTCCCACCTCACTCCAGGGGAAGGATACTGCAAAATCTCCATTCCCTCCCCACTCCAGGGAAAGGATACTGTAAAATCTCCATTCCCTCCCCACTCCAGGAAAAGGATACTGCAAAATCCCCATTTCCTCCCGATCAGCTGGGACTTGGGAGACAGAGAATAGATGGAGGCGGGGCCAGTCAGAATTTTTACTACCGGTTCTCCAAACTACTCAAAATTTCCGCTACCGGTTCTCCAGAACTGGTCAGAACCTGCTGAAACCCACCTCTGAGTGGTTGTTAGTAGGATTTACTGGGCTAGGGATTTTTTAAAATCTTTCACTGTGAGTTGTATTATGTTGGGGTGTGTGTGCACAAAGGGAGACTCAGCCAATCTCATTGTGCACATGCTACACTCTTGACAATAAAGGTTTGAATTGAATTGAATAGAATATATATATATTCTATATATATATTATATATTGTTAGTGCAAAAGACTACTGACATAAGCCTGATGATGGCAGATGGGATTCTGTCGAAACGTCGCTTCTACCCTTTTAGGGATATATCCACAATTACACAGGAAGAAACCCGAAATATTAACTATACACACATACATACCCGTGAAAACTTACATAAACATATATATATGTGTGTGTGTGTGTGTGTGTGTGTGTATATGTGTATATATATGTGTATATGTATGTAGGTCTTTGGTTATTCGGGTCTTCTCCCACTTAAAATTGGAAGTGTCTTGGCGACGGTTCGATGAAGTCTCATTCGTCATCTTCAGGCTGGTGTTCTCGGCTTCGTGCTTCCATATATATCGATCTAGATATATATATATCTAAATCGAGTGGCAATTTTATTTCCTTTTCAATATTTTGCTATATGCAATGTATCTCCCGATAGGCCAGTTTAACAAGACCGCTTTATATTATTAATATTTTTTAAAAACCCGATTGCCTCTCAAAGACATGTTTACAAACCACTTTTTTTAAAAAAAAATCAACACTTAGAAAACGATATATTAAAAAAAAAACAGGTAATAGGAAACACAAAAGTAATAATATCAATGAATAAATAACCAGCAGAGATGTTTTCAGCTTTTCCACGATTTATATTCCAGCCTCTGTTAAAAGTTATCAGTACCATAGACGCCCGGACCAACAGTCTTTTTTTTTTTTTATAAATCAAAGCTCGTAAACTTTCACCTTTCCTGATATTTGAAAGTTGTATTTTTTTCCCCTCTCGGGCAGTACCTGGACGAGTTCACTTTTCCTTGGGAAGGGGAGCGAAGAGAGGGACTTCGCAAAGTTTCCTTTCCCTCTCTTCTTCCCCCCCCCCGTTTCCCAAATAGTTTGTCTCCTTCTCAATCCATTCAAAGGACGCCTTGAGGCTTGACCATCGTCCCGAGGGGGGTGGTGGACGAAGTCTGACCTTCGTTCTTACTTTCCCTCCACCTCCCTTCATTACTCATCTCGCCCTTAAAAAAGTGAAGCCGAGGTCAAGAAACGAGTGAGTCGGTTTCCGCTGTTAAAAAAAAAAAAGCCTCCTTCCCCGTGAGTAAGCCTCGGCGCGAGGCTCCCCGCTTCCCTGAAGGAGTTGGTACTTCCCGTTCCTTGGGCGAGGTTGCCTTTTGGAAGGGCGGCAGCACCTGTAGCGCGCGCGAGGACCGAGACGCGGCTTAGGTGGGGGCAGCATCGGAGGAGGAGGAGGAGGAACGGAGCGGGTGGCGGTGTCTCACCGAAGAGCTCCGAGGGCGAAGCGGGGCTTTGGAAACGAAGGAGAGCCTGGGAGCGATTTTTATATCCCAGCCTTCCTCCTTCCCGGGCTCAAAAGTCCGTACAAAGGTTGGGAAATGGAGACCCGGAGGACGCGTCGACCGGCCGCCGCGCTTCCCCTGTTGTGGTTCTTGGGCACCGCCTGGATTTTAGGTGAGCGAGTGAGGGGAATAAGGGAGTGGGTGGGTCGCTGGGTGACTGGGTGGGTTTCCCGCTGGACCGCCGGACGACGTGACCCCACCGCCCTCTTTGCCCCTCCGCCCGCCTCTGAGGGGGGAGACTCCTCGGGGACCCCTTCTTTAGGGCGCAGGGGAGGGGGAGACTCGAGAGCTGATTGGGCGATCGCCAATCGCCCTCAGCCAATCGCCTTCCCCCGCTGCTGCTTCTCCCGCGCGGACTTCGCCGTGGGGGGGGGGGATGATGACCAGAAATGGTTGGTGCTTCTTTTCCAAGCCCCCCCCCCCACCCCGCTGCCCCCTATTAACGGCGGAGGTGAGATCTTTCTCGGATCCCCGATTTTCTGGAGAGTCGCAGTAAACAGCGCTTTTCTGGACAAAACGGGATCCGCACCTGTTGACTGCGCGCAGCGCATGCAACCTGCTGCATTGGGGATTCTGAATGAACCCACTTTCTAAGCGTTAAACAGTAAGGGTAACAGAGTTGGAAGGGACTTTGGAGATCATCTAGTCCAACCCCCTGCCCACGCAGGAGATTAGATTAGATTTTTTTATTAGATTTTTATACCGCCCTTCTCCGACTGGACTCAGGAGACCTGTACTAAGGATTCGAACCGCTGAACTGCCGACCTTTCTGATCGACATCCCAAGGGGGGGTTGTATACAGGTAGTCCTTGACTTACAACAGTCCGTTTAGTGACCGTTCGATTCGAAGTTACAGCGGCACTGGGAAAAAAAAGTGACTTACGGCCGTTTTTTCAGAGTCACTGACCTTTGAGGCATTTCCCCACGATCATGTGATCGAAATTCAGCTGCTCGGCAACTGGTTTATATTTATGACCTTTAAGGTGTCCCGGGATCATGTGATCACTTTTGGGGACCTTCTGACGAACAAACTCAATGGGGGTAGCCAGATTCACTTAACGTCCGGGTTTATACTGCAGTGATTCACTTCACAGCTCCGGCAAGAAAAGTCGTAAAATGGGGCAAAACTCACTTAACAAATGTCTCACTTAGCAACAGAAATTTGGGGGGGAATCCATTGTGGTCGTAAGTCGAGGACTATCCCTCCACGAAAAGAAAGCCTTTTTTAAAAAAAAAATCCAGTCTACGAAATGCATTTAAAATGAACTCGGTTAAAAGCGATGAAGGAGCACATGTTGTGCAAATGCAACTTTTGGGATGGTTAATGGACGTGTGCTAAGGGAACGTAGATGTAGTGAATTGTTCTCGTGGGTGCTGTGATGTTGTGATGGTGCGGTTGTACAAAGGCAGTAATGGGCTTGGTGTCGAGACCTAGGTCTGCAGTTGGTGTTTTTGTGAATGTACATTTGCACATTCACACCTTCATGGTGGTTTTTGTTTGTTTGTTAGATTGATAATCCTTCTTTCCACCAGAAGCATATAAAGTGCTTCCTCCAATTTATCTCTTAACAACTCTGCAAAGTATGTTGGGCTGAAGGACAAAGACACCGGTCCAAAGACACACAGTGGATTTCTGTGGTTGAGAGTGGACTTCAGTCTGGGTTTCCTCAGCCCCTTAATCACTGTAATCAACCATACTGTTTGCTACTGGAGATAAAATGTTTTCTTTCCACCCTTCCCGGAGCCCTTCTTTTCTGACTGAAGCTAGCTAGTTGGCTTCCTTTTCACAGGGAAAATGTCCTTGGCTCTTCTCAGTTCAAGGTTTCTTAACATTTACCTGGCTCATAGCCCAAAGAAAGGAGGAAAATACCTCCCACCTCCTCATTTTGCTTTTCCTGTTCGTCATTTGCCTTTTGTCTTGCCTGCTGGAAGGACCCTCCAAGGGCAGGAAATGGGGTGGTTTGAAGAAGCCATGGCTTTTTTCCTTGTGCACGCTTGTACGAGACCGCCTTCTGCCACCAGTAGCCTCTCACCGACCAGTACGCTCCCATAGAGAGGGGCTCCTCAGGGTGCCGTCGGCCAAACAGTGTCGACTGGCGGCCCCCAGGGGGAGAGCCTTCTCTGTGGGGGCACCCGCCATCTGGAATGAGCTCCCCCCGGAGATACGGAGGATCCCGGACCTGCGCACGTTTCGCCGTGCTCTCAAAACTTTTCTATTTCAGCAAGCTGGCCTGGCCTAACTCCCCTCTTTTAAATTATTTTTTAAATTTTTTAATTCGTGATTTTATAAATTGGGTGTTTTAATCTGTGTTTCGGCCAAAATATTTAATAATTTTAAGGGATTTTTAATATTTGTATTATCTGTATTTTATCTTGGCTGTTCACCGCCCTGAGTCCTTCGGGAGTAGGGCGGTATAGAAATTTGATTAAATAAATAAATAAATAAATAAACAAACAAACAAACAAATAAACAAATAAACAAACAAACAAATAAATAAATAAATAAATAAAATACCAGTGATGGGAAATTAAATGTTTTCGAACTCATCTGGGGACAGAAAGTATAGCTTTGAGGTTCTCCAGCCAGAGCCAAAAATACAGCTTCTCTGCAATATCCAGTGTTTTGGGTATTTGCACAAGTCCTGAGGCTACAGTAAGAGTTTATTCGAGTAGCTCTACAGTAAGAACCTTAAGAAATTTGGACCATAAGGAAGGCTGAGTGCCAAAGAATTGAGGCCTTTGAACTATGGTGCTGGAGAAGACTCCTGCGAGTCCCTTGGACTGCAAGGCGATCAAACCGGTCAGTCCTAGAGGAGATCAACCTGACTGCTCTTTAGATGACCAGATCCTGACGATGAAACTCAAATACTTTGGCCACCTAATGAGAAGGAAGGACTCACTGGAGAAAGAGCCTAATGCTGGGAACAATTGAGGGCAAAAGAAGAAGGTGGCTGGATGGAGTCACTGAAGCAGTTGGCGTGAGTTTAAATGGTCTCTGGGGGATGGTAGAGGACAAAAGGCCTGGAGGAACGTTGTCCATGGGGTCGTGATGGGTTGGACACAATTTCGCAACTAACAACAAAAAGAACCATAAAAGCATTTGAAATGCAAGATTTGAAGCCCAAATAATTCCATTTTTTCCATTGTTGTTTTTCACATCCCATGTGATCAACACATGGCCTGGTGTGTGATGTTTGGCATATTATCATTTTCTTGCAAGGTAAAACGAACAACCCATAGAAGGGAAGAGTTAGCCAGCTTCTAACCCTTAATCCCCCTGAAAAGGGGGAAATGTTTCAGGAAGAATCAAGGAACTTTTGGTTTCTGTGGCAAGATCTATTGTGTGTTTGTTTGAAGCCTGTAGGTGTGCCTTATTAGACTTTTCTTCCTGGAAGGCTGATGACTGATCCAGACTGGAGCTGCAGTTGTCACACACATACACACATCGAAACTGCAGGTCCTTTGTGGGAGGAAACTGATCTTGGTGCCAATCCCCTTTCAGACTGGAATGAAACCACAAAAACAAATAAAACGAGGGAGGAAGAATACGAGCCTACGAGATACGCATGGAAATAGACTTGCTTTGTCAGAACAAAACTAGAAAAGTGAAAAGGGTTTTCTTTTTGGACAATTTGAAAACAAATGAAAAAATAAAACTTGCCATTATTTTGCCAAGGTGATAAATGCTTGCAATTGGCTGGTACATACAAACAGAGCTCTTTTAAGAGGCTTTTGATCTTGAATGTTGTTCCCCAAAGAGTAATGGAAGTATGACTGTCTGTCTTTTTAGGCACCAAATAAATATACCCTTCCAAGCTTTTTCAGTGAATATTGATATATTTGGATTTTTTTAATATTGTGCAGTAGATGCATCTTTGCAGTTTAGATCCCTTGAAATTTATGTTCAGGACTTGTAATGAATAGTATCTCAAATTGCTGGGGAGGATGATAGATGCAACTTCGTTCTGAACATTGAAGTGTTATAAAAAAGCAAGGGAATCTTCTTTCTTTCCTCTTGGTCCTCCTTAAGCTTGATTTAGACTTGTCTGTAACTGTGAGTAGGTGGTCAACGCATATCTGTGCTGTGAAGGGGTTGATGGGTAAGTGTAGGCTGCTGATGGTTGCAGACAACTGATGTACACACCTCCCAATTCTCAACTACGTGTTTAAGAGCTGAGGTGGCACAATGGTTAGAGTGCAGTAGTGCAGGTTACTTCAGCTGACTGCTAGCTGCAGTTCAGCAGTTCAAATCTCACTAGCTGAAGGTTGACTCAGCCTTCCATCCTTCCGAGGATGAGGACCCAGATTTTTGGGGGCCATAGGCTGACTCTGTAAACTGCTTAGAGAGGGCTGTAAAAGCACTATTAAGCAGTAGATAAGTCTAAGCGCTATTGCTATAAGTGCTATTTTGTGGAGATGTGAATGCTGCACGCTTATTGGCTGATCCAACTTCCTGTTGGGAGTGGAGAGGGGGGAAGAAGGCCAGGCTCATTCAAACTTTTACAAGTTATGGACAAATTAAAAGTTATAAATTGGACAAATAAGTTATGTCCAATTGACATAACGTAATGGCTGGAAATTGGTATGTCCTGAAATAATGCTCTTGACAGGCCCAAGGAAACTATGCTGAGAAGATAAGCCAGCTCTGGCTGTCTTGTATGTCATAATTGGAAGGAAGGAAGGAATGCTGTAGAAAGAAAGTGTGTTAGCATTTAAGGATGTTGTATTTACTCACCGTTCCTTTCTGTCTGCTCCAACCTACAGATTCTGCCATTGCAATACAGGTCAGTGTGCTGAATCCTTTCAATGTAGCCATCCTGTTTCAACCTGTGACTCTGCAGTGCAATTACCAGACTTCAGCAACTCAGCCTCCTATTGTCATGTGGAAATACAAATCTTACTGCCGAAGCCGCATAGCTGATGCTTTTAACCCCGGCAGCCAGGAGAGCCAGCTCAACAACCAGCTACAAACGAACAATCCAGGATACAACCCTTATGTGGAATGTCAAGACAATTCCAGGACCGTGCGAGTTGTGGCCACCAAGCAAGGCAATACAGTCACCCTGGGGGAATTCTACCAGGGCCGGCGCATTACTATCACAAATGGTATGTACAGGACACCAAAATATTGGCTCACAGTCTTATCATATAGTCATTGTTGTTTGGTGAAGACAGAGAGCATAAACAAGAATGCCAGGTGGCAGATTTAGGAAAGTTGTTGTTTTTAAATAGTCCATTACTAATACAGGTGTAGGTAGGTGAGTGAGCATATTTCTGTAAACTGTGTCTGTGTTTACCAATCCCAGCTGAAGTTAAAGTCATCTTAGCCTACAGAAAGGTGTGTAGAAAGACATGCTTTGAGAAATGGATGCATTGCTATAATTTACCTTACGTTACAAATCCTCATAAATCTTTTTTGAGAGGGTAAGACTTCATAGCTGTAGGGCTTATTTTTTTTTGTAGCATGAACCCAGAATTCTGGCTTATTGTGATATGTAATCTACAGCAGTGGCCAAAATTGTGGAAACCTTTTGGGAAAAGTATTTTTGAGGTTTGATGGCTAATAACACCACTTTTTTTTTTTTTTTGAGTTTCAAGATAATCCTATTCCACTGCTAGAATGGCCTGGGAATAGCCCAGACCTTCACCCAATTGAAAATCTATGGAGCCGACTAAAGAAACTTGTTAGTCAGAAGCGACCCAGCAATAAAACCCAGTTAATAGAAGCAATCATTCAATCTTGGTTTCATATTATAACAGCTGCAGAACTGAAAGACTTGGTTCACTCCATGGGAAGACGTTGTAATTCATGCTAAAGGTTACCCAACTAAGTATTAACTGACATGGTGATCATTTTTGTATATCTCATTTCACTTTTCTTTTTTTCATAAAAGTTATTGCGTTACATTCTTGATTAAAGTGTCTTTCCATTGATAAATAATATCCATTGATACTACTCAAAAAAAAAAGTGGTGTTATTAGCTAGTTTTAGAAAATACACTTTTCCCAAAAGGCTTCCACAATTTTGGCCACTGCTGAACTCAGTGTTATTGGCTGAGTCGTGTTATGGTCCTTATTTTCTTAGTCTGATAGTTAGCAACGGTTGGGTTTGTTTTCCCAATAGTGGTATCTTTTCCTCCCCATTTCCAGGTGGATATAATGATATTTGCTGCTTTTCACTATTTTAAGCACTAATGTTACAAGAATTAACTACAGGATTTTGCTGGAAAAAAAACAAACACATAAATGCTTTCCTGAGGGTTTGAACTTTGAGATCCCCTTGAATTCAGAGACCTTTCAACCATGAAACTGTGAATGAATGGAGAGTAAAAGTATTAAAAGTTCTAAATCGAAATAACTACTGCTGTGCTAAAAAAAAATCGAGAAAAACTTGCTTTATAAATAATAGACATTCAACTGATTGGTCCAATTTTCTACTGGGGATATAAACTTTTGTTATTTTATTAGTTTCAATGCTTTTCAAGTTTTTTTTAAAAAGTTCAAGCTAGATTGCAATAAAGGGATGCTCAGTGGCTAAGACGCTGAGGTTGTCGATTGAAAGGTCGGCAGTTCAGCGGTTCGAATCCCCAGTGCCGCTTAACAGGGTGAGCTCCCATTACTTGTCCCAGCTTCTGCCAACCTAGCAGTTCGAAAGCACGTAAAAATGCAAGTAGAAAAATAGGGACCACCTTTGGTGGGAAGGTAACAGCGTTTCGTGCGCCTTTGGCATTTAGTCATGCCGGCCACATGACCACGGAGATGTCTTCGGACAGTGCTGGCTCTTCAGCTTTGAAACAGAGATGAGCACCGCTCCCTAGAGTTGGGAACGACTAGATTGAAATATCCAGCTGAACATGAGAAGCTAAGGATATTTGAACCTGATTAGTATTTGAGTGGTAGATCAGAAGAGACTTCCTGTCTGTAGGCCAGATAGGGAAGTGAAGCCTACACCCTGATTTCTACAGAAAGACTATCGTAAAACTTTGCAGACAGGAAAATTATATCACGAAATAATATGAAGGACCCTTTGAAAAATAAAAAAGCTATAAATCCCTTCAGCACAGAATAGAAAGCTGGCAAAAGACCAGAATTTTGTTTTTATTCCTCTTTAAAGAACAAAGAAAGTTAGGTGTGGCCAGATTCCGTAACTTCCCCATGCCCTAGTTTCCTTTGGCGAGGAATATGTTTACTTGTATTGGAATGCAAGGAGCAATTTTCAACAGAGAAATCTTGCTTTCCCTCTAAAGTACAATAACCATTATAAACATTTTTTCAGAAAAAAATGTATTTCTAAATAAGTGGAGAGAAATATTTTAGTTTCAGCCTACTCAACCTCAAGCTATAGAACTTTGTCTAACCTGTGATTTCTCAATCTTACCAAACTTTAAGAAAGGTGGACTTCGACTCTTAGAATTCCCCAGCCAGCAAGACTGGCTGGGGAATTCTGGGAGTTGTAGTCCACACATTTTAAAATTGCTGAGCAATACCTTGTATTCCATGAGAAGATAATTTGGTAACCTCCAGGTGTTTTGCACCACTTATCTGGTCAGCCATAGTGTGGCCAATAAAGAGAAACTGTTCTTATTATTCAATTTATTAATCTATAGTCTTAAAAATGTTGCAGTTGCAAATATATGGAATATATATATGACATTGGTTAACAACTTGTGCTATAAATATTTCAGTTTCCTACAGCTGGAACTAATCTTTGGTTCTTCGGCGTAATCCTTCTGCTATTTACTCCATCGTAATCCTTTTGTAATTTTCTCTTGTATGTTGTGTGTCTGAAAACCACTGCCAGACTCTGAATATTACTTCATTTTTAATGCGAGTGTTGTTTTTCATAACTATTGCAAGGACCTGAAGGGAAGTTGAAAACAAGAATGAGCAATGCAGATGAATTTAGCAGGTCAAAAGTCCATGGCAATACCCCACAGCCTTGTGATAACATGTTCTAAAACAAGCACCAATGGGCAGTTTTAGAAATGCTACATGTTTTTTCTCTCATTTACTGCATGACCCCTGTCCCCCAAATCATGGTGTAATCATCAGGAGCTTTTCTTTCAAGTTCTAGCAAGATTAGACTCATGCTACGACTGTTACATTTAGATGTTTTCTGTTTTGGTTGTACAGGGAACAAATACCCTGTACAACCAAAATAGAAAACATCCAAATTTTGTTATTGATTCTCCCTGTTTATATTCTTTTTCTACTCTTGTAAAAACAGATTCTGGCAATGCACAACACAGAAAACCAGGTTGAAGTCTAGGGGGCATGTAACAATCATATTTTAAAAGCATCTATCTTATAAATAATACAGTATATGTTTCTTTGCTTCTGAAATTCATGCTGTCAAACAGGCATGATGGTTTCCTTATTAGAAGTTATTCACCCAGCATTAATCTGTTTTTTTGGCTTTCCTACGGAATTTTAATTGTTAGTGCGGTTTAAAGTCTTGCTCAAAGTTTTATTCTTAGTAAGAAAAATAGAAATAAGTTTTAAGTAGTAGAGCAAGGATACACTGGGTTTTGAAACTAATGACCTATTTCTGTTTCTACACATGCTCCATAATTGCATGAGGAAGAAATTGTATTGAATGAGAAGTAATAGAACTGACAGTTGTAACTTTTAGGCTGGAGCAGTATTTCTCAATCCTGGAAACTTGAATGTTTTGTAGACTTCGATTCCCAGAATTCCCCAGCCAGCATGCTGGTTAGGGAATTCTGGGAGTTGAAGTCCGGACATTTTAAATTTGCCCTGGTTCAGAAACAAAAGAGTTGTGGGAATAATGTTTTGAACGTCTCTTGCAGAAAAAAGTATTGTACTACTAGAAAACTAGCATGCATACTTTCTGCTTGAAGTTAGGTAGGGGTTTGTTCTCCTCCTCCTCCTCCTCATGCTGACATGGTGTTGCATAGGAGAGGGGAGACCCAGGTTTCAGTTCTCCCTCAGCCATGGAAGCCAGCTGAATGGCTATCACTTTCTTTCAGCCCCCAACTGGGAGGTAAAAGAACATCTCCCTGCAAATCTATATTGGACCAGGGTGGTAGATCATGGTCCATTACTTTCAGTGAAGAGGCCTTCATGCAATGGCTTGATTCAGGCTGATTATAGCATCAAAACCAACATTGGCAGGTATCCTTCCATGTTGAATATTTTAAAGCAATATTTCCTCATTTGAAACGTTACAAACTTTAGCCTACAGATTCAACCTTACTGGCAATGTTGATGGATTTATTTATTTATTTATAATAAGGCTATCACTCTACGAGAGAATTTAAATTATATAGCAGGGTGATGTCCTGAACCAAAACTGCTGTGTACATGAAAGTGCCTTTCAGACCTATAATTTATGTCTGAAAGGAGACGTAGAAAACTCAAACTAATTTGCAGGTTTTATTGTCCAGTTGCTAACAAAATTGGTAGGTTTTCAGCATCTTCAGCAAGCCCCCTGCACCTGATGAACTTGGAAGATCGTGAATTGGATAGATCCGTTCACTCAGTTACCGATTCACATATGAACTTCCTAGCAGTTTTGCTGTTATTGTGTCTGTTCCAGGGATGAAATGCTCCTGGATCGGACCGGATCGCCTGATCCGGTAGCAATTTTTCCCTGTGGTTCAGCGATCCGGTAGCAATCGCCGCCCCGGTGTCATTACTTCCTGGTTTTAACCAGGAACCAGAAGGTTTTGCACGTGTGCAGAAGGTGTGCGCGGGTGCAGTGCGTGCGCTTCTGAACCGGTAAGGAAGGTAAGTAGATTTCACCCCTGGTCTGTTCCTGAGACTGTGGCACAACTGACATGTTTTGTGCACTACCTTCCTTAGTCTCCTTACTGAAACATTTCATAAGGGGTTCCATAAATTCACTGCAGTTGCAAATATTTCTCCCTCTGCATTAGCCTTGCTGATGAATTTGATTGCAGTTTCTGAACCGCGCCTGGCACATTGCCTGTGTTTACACCCAGACATATAGATTTACTTGGGGCCACTCTCTTGAAAGGTTTGCATAAAATAGCATTGAGTCAGCTCAGCTCAGCTCAGCTCAAAACAAACTCTTATTTTTGACTCCAGCAAGAAAAGAAAATCACATTTCATATGAAAGGCTACTTAATAAGTAGTTCTGGTCAGTGGCCCATCACTAGTATGCTGCATACTACCAAATTATTTTCCTCTCCCAATGGCCCCTTGCATCATTGGCGACTGTTCTTTTCTTTTTCTTTTTTTTTGATATATAATTTTTATTAATATATTCTATACACTAATACACAAATAAAATATACAATCCTGCCACCATGGTATAATATGATTACATTGTCCATAAGTATAAAATCATTCCTTTATACATACATATTTGCCATCATATATATACATCATCATATATCTATTCTATCCCACCTTTTCTGGACCCAATCGTACCATATTTTCCAACTGTTATAAAATTCTGAATCTTTTTTACCATTGATCAATCTAGTTAGTCTATCTGATTCCGCACACTCATTAATTTTATATATTATTTTCAAATCTATCGGTAAGTATTGATTTTTCCACTCCTGCGCATACGCTAATCTTGCTGCAGTGATAATGTGAATTAACAAGAACCATATATCTGATTTAACATTCAAAGGTTTTGCCCCCAATAAGAAAATCTCAGGTCTTAATTCCAAATTAATCTGTGTAATTTCCAAAATCCATTGCCGTATTTTTTTCCAATATTTAACCGCCTGCGGCTGTTCTTTTCTAAGTCCAAAGAAATTGCTCCCTGGAGAAGCACTGACTTGAGCAAATATAATATTGTCACTCTCCCTATATATGGTACAGGTCATCCTCCACTTACAGCAGTCCATTTAGTGACCGTTTAAAGTTACAACGGCATTGAAAAAAGGGACTTATGACTGTTTTTCACACTTATGACCATCGCAGCATCCCCATGGTCATGTGATTTACATTCGGACAACTGGTTCATATTTATGACGGTCGTTGCAGAGTCCCGGGGCTATACGATCCCGTTTGTGACCTTCGGGCAAGCAAAGCCAGTGGGGAAGCCAGATTCACTTAACAACCGTGTTACTAACTGAACAACTACAGTGATTCCCTTAACAAATGTGGCAAGAAAGGTCGTAAAATGGGGCAAAACTCACTTTGAACACATTTCTTACTTAGCAACATCAATTTGGGGCTCCATTGCGGTCATAAATCGAGGAGTACCTGTGTATGGCTTCACAATGTACAAATTGTCTTTTGTACATTGTACAAAAGAACTCTTTGTCATTTCACATTTCTTCTTTCTCTTGTATAGAAATCCATGGGTGCCTTTAAGGACTTCTACATCCCATGATGGCACTGAAAATTTAAATATCTTGCTTGGGGTGAGAAGCTAAGCAGAGTTAAACTTAATCAATATGTTGGTCAGGAACCTGTTTGAGAATGGGCTGCTATAAAAATCGAATAAATAAATGAATAAACTTGCAACATGTCAGCTAAACTGGGAGATTTATTTATTTATTTATTTATTACATTCCTATGCTACCATCTTGCTGGAGGCAATTAGGCAGTTTACAGACATAACAATTAAAACATACCATAAAACATTAAAACGATAAATAGGGATCTTAAACTTGGAAAATTCCTGGAAGAAGGCAAACTACTGTTCGGTGGCCAAGGAGATTAAATATTTATTTATTATTATTATATATAATATTTATAATATTAGATTTATAAAGGCCACCAAACTTGAATGATATGACTCCGGATGGTGTAAATCTATTCATGAAGTCAGCACAAAATGAGATTCACTTGAAGGCAGGGTGGATTTGATTTAAATCGAGTTGATTTTAATCACAATTTAAATCATGATTTAAATCACTAGTAAAAAGGCTTGATTTAAATCAACTCGATCTAAATCATAATTTTTAAAGAGCAACTGTCATCTCTGCTACTCCTTTGACCCACTGTTGACTCACCGATAGTCCCAGTGTTGCAGAATATACAGCCTCATGCTATATAACTAAGCTCCATTTCATGCTGAATAAACTAAATTATTTATGTATCTTAAATAGAAAACTATCTTACGATAGATTTTTACCCCAAAAGTTTTTTATTAAAATAAATTCGATAAAAATCAAAAAAATCTGATTTAAATAAAAAAAATCCGATTTAAATTTAAAAAATCTGATTTTTTTTTGATTTTTTAAAAAAAATCATTGATTTTTATCCACCCTGCTTGAAGGACAACTTATTTTCACATAGCCTTCTGAGGAAAGGACTAGCAGCTCCAATGAGGAGAACACTGTAATTCCTCTCAGCCAAGGCTTCTGGTGGCCAATTGTTTATGATGTTATTTTTCCCATGTTCTTTTGTAATTATATTTGTATTTTGGTCTGTGACCGCAAATAAAAGTTAATTAAAGAGGTGCCTTTTATAAGACGTTAGTAGCACCACACCAGTGGTAAACATGGAATTTGGAGCCTGGAGAAAACTTTTGGTCAGTTTCATGCTTTATCTCCTGGATGGAGGTTGCTTTCATTGGAATTTGATTTTTTTTTCTCGTCTTCTCAAACAATTATTCTTCTGCCAGTTGAGAACCTTCCAGAAGGACTCTCCAATTAATTTCCCATTGTAGCTGAAACCTACAGTAAATTTTGAACAAGAATTTGGGCAAAAGTAAGAGGGCAGCTCCATCCTTTGAGTTTATGCTGTTAGACAAGAGAGTCCAGATTTTCAGTGTTAATCTAATAACTCTCTTCAGCCAATAGCCAGGGCTTCTAAAACCGACACATTAAAAACCAAAAGACCATAACAATAATTTGTTTGTTTGTTTGTTTATTTGGACTGCTTCCTTGATATTGTAATTTGATACATATTTTGAGTTTTCCTCTAGTAGCAAATTGGTAATATCCCTTTTTTTAAAAAAAAAATGGCATTCATGTGATTAACAAAAGTCTCAAAATCCTGGTGACAGCGCTGGCTCTTCGGCTTCAAAACGGAGATCAGCACCGCCCCCTAGAGTCGGGAACGACTAGCACGTATGTGCGAGGGGAACCGTTACCTTTACTATATAATAGAAGGGTATTTTTGTGAAATAGCACATTACTCATACTTTTTTGAAGTTACTCATACTTTTTGAAGTTACTCATGCGCCACAAGATAATTATACATAGATACAGTGATGTAGTAATGGGATGGAATGAACTAATAGCTAAAAAAATTCCAAAGGGAGGAAATTGCTAATTCTCCCCCTCCCCAAAGCCTTGCCGATATTTTGCAATAGCAAGGATACAATTAAGTTATAGCACATTTTAGCTGTTGATTTATGATGCTACTGATTGAGTAACCAGGTCAGCTGAATCTGTTCTTACGTTATGCTGAGAATTGATGCAGTGATTCAGATGTTGGGTTTGAATGAGAGACCAAGTTTTGTTCCTCCTTCAGAAGTTCGCTGAATGGCTTTGGGCAATTCACTTTCTCACAGTCTGCCTACTTCACATAGTTTTGATTGAGGGCAAAAAAAAAGAAAAAAAAGAAAAGAGGAAGCACCGAGGATGCTATCTTGAACTTCTGAAGGAAAGTAGAATACAACTATAAGCAATACACAAGCATTTCATCAGCCAGCTCTGTTCATTCCTTTATTCCAACGAAAAATGGATTTGGATAATAGGAAAATAGGTAAATAATAACGGATTGGCCTTCCTCATCGTTTCCCTACTCTTTTTATCATGGGCACATTCAGCTGATGATTGTGAAGTTCATAAATAATTTCTTCCTTTTAACCATCCTCAGGTTTCTGTATTGCGGTGCTGCAATCTTGAGCAAAGACAGTACAGCAGAAGCTCTGGTCACGACCATAATGTCAGCTTTGGAATCCATATTAGGCTGGAAGCTTCCACGCTGCCACCTTCTTGTGTGTGGGAAAGTAGGAGGGGGGATTTAGTAGAAGGGAATGTATTTAGACAAAATAGCATTCTTCCTTTTGGTCAAGGTCAGGACGATCCTGCATCTGGAGGAGGAGTGGTCGGAGTGCTATCTCGAGATGGGACGGATGGTGATTGGAACATGTGATCGACTGAGGAGTGAGGGGATTGTTTTGGGGGTTTTGATTTACTGAGGGAAAACCCGGATTTCTCAGATTTGGGTTTTCCCAGATTGCCAGTATACCTATTCTAATAAATGGAGCTTTGAGAAAATGCTTGCTTTGGAGTTTTTAATTGGAGTTGGGGTTTTCTGGAACGCTGACACATAATTTATTTCATAATTTTGGTCGCAACCTGATTTGGTCGTGACCTAAACCTACTTTTGGAAATTCAGCGCTTACAAAAAAAAAATAAAAATGGCGTGGAAGAGGAAATCAGCTGTGAAAAAAAAATTGTGAATTTTTTGGTCAGAACCCAATTTGGTTGTGGTCAGAAGCGTTCGTGACCAGAGGTTCTACTGTATAGGGAATGAATGTGAAGAATATTCTTTATTTGAGCATCTGTTTGAGGAATTGATTTGGGGGTCCATTTTGACAGTTCCTTTTTTTGTTCATTCTTCCTGTAGATGCTAGCCTCAGCATAGAGCAAACTGCTTGGGGGGACAGTGGTGTTTATTATTGCACCGTGACATCTTCCCAAGATTTGCAAGGCAACAACGAAGCCTACGCTGAACTCATCGTATTGGGTAAGTGAGGACACTCTTATTGAATGCAAATAATAGGAAGGACAACAGGACACCTTAATTACATTAGCTCCCCCAAAGGTAGGAAGCCAACTTGGGTGGCAAACAGGATCTCACTCACAAAACTGGCCACATCACCTCCCATCTATTAAAAGGGTAAAATTTGGTTTTGATTTGCCCGTAGAAAGAATGAGTTCACGGCATGCAGCTCCTATTACTGAAAAAGTGTCCTTATTGCTCACACAGAAATGCACACGGCCTTGGTTCACACCTGCACCAAAGCATAGCGTGGTTGGCTTGGGTTTGGTTTTACATAGCATATTGGACAAATCTAGCCATTGTGGTTTGTAAACCATGGTTTAAGGCCTTGCATGTTGTAGGGACCAATATTTGGCTCAGCAAAGCATGACCGATGAACATTGTAGTGTGAAACACATCTATAACCACGGCAACCACAATTTTTCTCCCACCTGGCCCATTTTTTTATTTACAGATGGGCTTTTCTTGTTTTTAAGTAGGAGGGAAATTTCACAATTACCATCTTCTCACTCCCAATCATTTGTGTTCTAAACTGAAGCACCCCAATCTACTCTACTCTTGTTTCCCCTCCCCCCCACATATCTGTATAGGTCCAGCCTGAGAGTTAGAGTGTATGTGTTTCATCAGCACTGTTCTGCTTCCTTTACTGTATCCTGGCCTTGCACTGTCTTCTTAATTTCCATCTGGGTCAGTCCCAGTGCCTTGCCTGCCCAAGGTGCTACTTCTCTCTCTGTCGCCATCTTTTTCATTGCGAATGACAGAATTTGTATCATTTCTGGGTTGATTGAGATATCTGGACATCATTGTGGTTCGTCCTGGACACTTACAAACTTTTCCCAACCTGGCACCCTCCAAAATATCTGCAATTATAGCTCAGTTACCTCTGAAGGATACCAGATGTGAGAAAACTGCTGTAGATTCAATTGCTTATATGACAACCGAAGTTAGATGCTGGGCTTATTGGTGTGATAAGGGTGGATTTGATTTAAATCAACTCGATTTAAATCATAACTTTTAAAGTGAAGGTTTCCTATTTAGCTTGCAGAGCTTGGATTCATTGAATGAGTTTACCAAAAATGTAAATATTGCAGAATATACAGCCTCATGCTGCATAACTAAGCTCCATTTCACACTGCTGAATAAACTAAATTATGAATGTATCTTAAATATGCAAACTATCTTTAGATAGACGGTTACTCCAAAAGGATTTTATTAAAATAAATAGAATAGTAGAATAGAATTCTTTATTGGTCAAGTGTGATTGGACACACAAGGAATTTGTCTTAGGTGTATATGCTCTCAGTGTACATAAGGAGAATAAAATACATTCATTCATCAAGAATAAAAAGATACAACACTTAGTGATAGTCAAGGTTACTAATAAACTATCAAATCGTACTAGGAAACAAAAACAATATAGTTGAAAGATACAAGCCACATGATTATAGTCATAAGTGGGAAGAGATAGATAATTAGGAAGGAAGAGAAGATTGATAATAAAGACTTAGTGAATAGTTTGACAGTGTTGAGGGAATTATTTGCTTAACAGAGTGATGGCATTCAGGAAAAACCTGTCCTTGTGTTTAGTTGTTTTGGTGCGCAGTGCCCTATAGCATCTTTTTGAGGGTAGAAGTTGAAACAATTTATGTCCAGGATGCGAGAAAACTAAAAAACCTAAAAATAAAAAGATAAAAAACTATCTTTAGATAGATTTTTTTACCCCAAAAGCATTTTATTAAAATAAATTTGATAAAAATAATAATAACAAAATCTGATCATCCATTTTTATCCACCCTGGGTGTGGCTTCTAAAGTAGCTTCTAAAGTACCGGCTGGTGCTTGTGTCCTGATTTTCTTCCCACACACTGGTAATGTTGTCATCAACATGCTCCCTGCAGAATTGTATGTGTGAGTTCCTCCCGCTAGAGGGAGCAGACCAAGCAGAAGCTCGTGTGTCCCCGGGTAGTGTTGATGCACAACATTATTATCTTGGGGGGGGGGGTGCTGTTTCCTTTCAGATACCAGAGTCTCTGGAGATCGACTGTCATTTCCTGTTTCTGCCAAACTCCTTGCTGAGAGCTGCGATGGCTGGTGTACCTGGTAGTGCCAGGATAAATTGTTCAAACAAACAAAAATATATGTGTAGGGCCTTATCTGGGAAAGGAAATCTTTCAAACATACTGCTCAGTAAGGGTGTGTTAGGTGTGTGTATGCACCTTCCTTTTCCTGACTTAGAGGCCCTTGGCAATGCTCTACATAAGCACTTGTTACCTTCTAAGCCCCATAGCATAGCTGGCTGGAGAATTCTGGGAGTTGAAGTCCACAAGTCTTAAAGCTGCCAAGTTTAAAGACCTCTGTTCTAAGCTTTCCTCATATCTCGAAGATGAAAGCCGTAAGCTTAAACACTCATCACTTCTCTGCTGAAAGAATTATGCCTTGCTTGTCTTGAGATAACCCATTGCGGCAGGAAGAGTACGTTTTTTCCATGTTCTTCCCTGGGGCCAGTTTGTTTGAAAGGTTTGAAACCGATATTAAAAAAAAAAAAAAAAAAGAACAGAAAACTTGTCTTGGGTATAATCCTTATGGACCAGCCAAATTGACTAGCTAAATAATTGAGAAGGCTTGCATTGTGTGCAGCAGAAGTGGCCAGAAGGTTGATAGATTTACTGAGAATATTCCAAATGTTTTGTATTAGCTTGGCGTGAACTCTTAACTCTTGGTGTGGAACAGCAGTGACAACAGTTTTTCTTATCGTCTAAGGAAACTTGTGGGGAGATAGAGGAGAAGAGAACCCTTGCAGGAAAGGATGTGGGTGCAAATTGTAGATCGCTGATTAATTCCTGGACTGACCATGTGTCAGATATGCAGGTTCAGCAGTTTGGCCTTGGCTTTTTCAGCCTCTCTTTTACAACTAATTTCCACGCAGGATTCCAGTGAAGCATCGGAGTGGTGCGGCGGCCTAGAGGTGGAGCTCTCGCCTCACCATCGGGAGGCTGTGAGTTCGATCCTAGGTAGAGGCAGATATTTCTCTCTCTGGGCACACTGAGAATATATCTGATGAAAAAAACCTCTGCATTGGCGACAGGAAGGGTATCCAGCCAGTAAACACTCAGCTCCATTCAGTTGCCCAGACTCCACCTCGCTAGGGATTATGGGGTCATTAAAAGAGGATGATGATGATGATGATTCCAGTGAAGCATCAAGTCAACCTACTAAGCTCAGTGTTAATGGTATCCGTGCTGTTTGAGAGTAGTTGCTTGTAAAGGATACGGGGGGGGTCCTCGGTTAACAATGGTAATTGGGACTGAGGACTCCAGCGCTATGCAACAGTGTCATGAAGTGTGATGTCACACGACGTACGATGGCAGTTCCAGTCGCCCTCCTTAGGTGACTCCCAATGAGATTGCAGCATCCGATGGTCATGTGAGCAAACTTCTGCAAACTTCCCCATTGACTTTGCTTGTCAGAAGCCAGCAGTGAAAGTTGCAAGTTGGGGATCATGTGGCTGCAGGGTGCTGCGATGTCACAATGGCGAGCTGGCCACTAAGCACCTGAATCGCGATCACGTAACGACAGGGACGTGTGGTCAATCAATGTGCCAAGCATCCTTGCTGGGCTGCTCCTACTGTAAATGCCTTTGCTAACTAGTTGTGTCCAACTCTTTATAAAAATCTCCTGGCAGCTTTTCCTGTATGGGATGGAATTTAGTTGATGTCTTCCATGAAGCCCATCCCGCCAGTCCCTTTCTCTGGCTCAGAAAGCCTTACTTCTGTGTCAGCCAGATATCTCCGTAACTTTTTTCCTGTTTTGTTTTGTTCTGTAGGCAAGTCCTCCGGTGTCTCAGAGCTTTTGCCAGGCTTTCAGATAGGGCATATGGAAGGTACTGCCTTTTTTCTTCCATGCTTACTTTCTAAAAGTGGTTGGGAAAGGGTTGACTTCACTCCCTCCCTATTATTTTTATTTTTTCCACCTCCTTGAATTTTCTCAAAGTTAGAAGTAGAAGCGCTTGGAATGCAAAGGATTTTGAAATGCTTGCCTGTCTGTCTGTCTGTCTGTCTGTCTGTCTTCCTTTCTCATTTACTGTCATCATTTTGCAACATTTCCGTTCTCCTCGTACATTGTAAAAATGTGCCCCTTGGCACCATTGCAAAAATGCGGGCTTTAGAGCGAAGGGACATTGTATTGTGGAGCTTTGGGCCGAGTTACAAATGCAATCCATAGTCTGCTTCATACCTCTCACTTTATGTCATGTTGAGCCTGGAAGCTTGGATGTGCTCTTCCCTTCCTGTACTGACTGTTCATGGCAAGCTGGGGTATGGTGGGGGGCCTCGTTTGGAAAAGACACTTCTGAGCCTGAAGTGTTCATCAGCCCTTGTTCTATGCCCCCCCCCCTTTGAAATACCTTTCTGCTTAGTGTAAGTTGAGGTCAAGAGCAGGGGTGGGATTCAAAAATTTTAGCAACCGGTTCTCTGCCCAGTTGCTGGGTGAGTGTGGCCATAGTGGGTGTGGCCTACTCAGCCTCCTGTATCATGCTTTGGGGGGGAGGTGGAGGGCTTTTCGCCCTCCCCAAGTTCCGGAGGTTTTTCTTGAGCCTCCGGGAGGGCGAAAACAGCCTCCCCCGGGTTCCGGAGTCCCTCCGGAGTCCGGAAATGGGCTCGTTTCCGGAACTTCCGGGAGGCCTGTTTTTCGCCCTCCCCAGGCTCCGGAGGCTTCCCTTGAGCCTCCAGGAGGGCAAAAACGGCCTTCCCTGGGCTCCGGAGGCTGGAGATTAGCATCCAGTTCGCCTGAACCGGCTGAATCCCACCCCTGGTCAGAAGTATTTAGTAGGTGGGATTTTCCACATTGTCATGAAGTATAAATTGTCCCTATAATAAAGTCCAATACTTTACAAATAATATGGGAGGGGGAGGAAAATGTTCAGAATCAGTGTTATCCATCACAGAGGATATGTATGTCCAAGTGAAACAAAATCAGCATGGGTAGTCCTCAACTTACAACAGTTCGCTTAGGGACCGTTGGAAGTTACAACGGCACTGAAAAAAAATGACTTATGACCATTTTTCACACTTAACGACCTTTCCAGCAGCCCCATGATCATGTGATCAAAATTCAGATGCTTGGCAACCGGTTCATATTTATGACCGTTGCTGTGTCCCGAGATCATGTGACACTCCCCCCGCCCCATTCTGCGACCTTCTGATGAGCAAAATCAGTGGGGAAGCCAGATTCACTTAACGACCGCAGGTTACTGACTTATCCACTGCAGTGATTCACTTAACAACTGAGACAAGAAAGGTCGTAAAATGGGGAAAAATTGACTTAACAAATGTCTCACTTAACAACAGAAATTTGGAGCTCAATTGTGGTCGTAAGTCGAGGACTACCCACATAAAGAGGAACGGAGGAATTGCACCTGAAATGGCCACCTGAACAGATCAGTTTATTCCAGAATAAACCCATCCTTTGCTAAGCCCATCCTTTGCTAAGGACTGCTACCTTAAAAGTCTATGGGGACTCCTTTATTTGGGGTTTTGTTCCACTGGCCAGACTCAAATGAAGAGACTTTTTTGAAACTTTACCTATGTTATTGGGAATCCTCCACTGCAGCTCTCCAGAGGGGGGCACCCAGTGCATAGAATCAAAACTAAATCTCCTATAGATACCAAAAGGAGGGCTGTTAGTGAGATGCTGGGAATTGTTTCCCCCATCTTTATGGACTCTTGGTAGAAGTTAACAAACAGACAACAGCTGACTCTCTCGATACAATGGGATTCGTTGGTTGTATCTCTGAGGGCTGCTTCCATTGGTTTCTTCCTAGATTGGGTCTTTGTGGTCTTAGTTGTGCTGGCCTTCTTTCTGGTCTTCCTGCTCCTTGGAATCTGCTGGTGCCAGTGCTGCCCCCATACCTGCTGCTGCTATCTTCGATGTCCTTGTTGTCCAGAGAAGTGTTGCTGCCCCGAAGCACGTAAGTTCCCTTTTACGGATCCGGTTTCAGCTTTCCCTGGAAGTGGTTCAACAGATCTTCTCGAAACGTCTGTAGTTGTTCGTCTCTCAAGGAACAGGTTCTTCTTCTTCTTCTTGTCAGTAGAAGAAATATGAAGAAATAAATACGTTATGTGTATTTATTCAAGCAAAATGCTCCGGTCTCAAAGAACAGGGTTTTTTTTCTTCTTCTTCTTGTAAGTAGAAGAAACGTGAAGAAATAAATATGCTGTTCGTATTGATTCAAGCAAAATGTTCACCATGTTCCACAGTCTGATGACTTCCAGCTGTGTTGGGTTGGAAGTGCTGTAATCCAGGGGTGGGATTCAGCCGGTTCGGACCGGTTCGGGAGAACCGGATGCTAATTTTACATCTGGTTCGCCGAACCGGTAGTTGCAAAGACTGGCTGGCCCCTCCTCGCCCCTCCCAGGAGTCTCCATGTGGCCCGTTTTGGATGCCAGGTAAGTGCAGCACTCCCATGGATGCTCTGGGAGGGTGAAAAACAGACCTCCTGGAAGTCTGGAAACCGGCTTGAGGTGCAGGAGGCCGAGGAGGCCACGCTACCATGGCCACGGCCACCCAGCAACTGGGCAGAGAACCGGTTGCTAAAATTTTTGAATCCCACCCCCCTGTTGTAATCCCTTGCTGGCTGTTGGAGATTTGGAAGTTAGTCCAGCACATTGAGAGGGCCACAGATAAGGAGGAAAAGCTTAGCAAGGCATGGCTGGAGAGGGGTGGGTATACTGAGGCCATCCCGCTCAGAACTACAGCAATAAACAGAGTTCAGACTGGCTATCCGGATTCCTAAACTGGGTGTATTCAGGGTGTGTCTAAAGTTAACACTATTTTATTTCTGAAGCTTTAATTTACAGTCAAACTTAAAAGGGCTCCCTAAGAACATTTAAGCAAAGGGAGTCCTTGTTTTATGACCGCAATTAGGACTCTGGAATTCTGGTCGCTAAGTGATGTGGTGGTTAAGCAAGTCATCATATGGCCAGACTCGATTTTAGGGCCATTTTTTTTTTTTAACCAGGGTTGTTAAACAAATCTAGCTTCTCCTATTGATTTTGCTTGTCGGAAGTCATAAATGATGATCATGTGACTACAGATTACAGGGATTATTATAAGTGTGTGCTGTTGTCGAGTGCCCAAATCACAGTTACGACCGTGAGGGTGGTGCAATGGTTGTAACTTTTGAGGTTGCAAGGCACCATTTCTTTCAGTGTTGTCACAACTTCGAACCATTGTTGCACGAGTGGCCATAAGTCGAGGCCTACCCGTACAGATGATCAATATTCCGTGATTCTTTACTTGCATCCCTTACCACCATGCCCTCCTCCTCCTCCCAACCCAAGATCATTAAATTGAAAAAGAAGCACTATTATTAATCCTAGAAGGCCACAAAGAAATCGAATTTTATCCAGGGCATCACCTTCTCAAGGTTAATGGCTGTTACTGTGGGTTGTAATGCCTGCCAAGTGCTTTGCAGGGCAGTATCACTTTGCCACATGCAACGTGTCTTAAAAAGCAAATACCAGCCCTTTATTTGGACCAACTTTATTTCTTTGCCTTTCCAGTATATGTAGCCGGGAAAGCTGCAACATCTGGAGTCCCCAGTGTTTATGCACCCAGTATCTATGCTTCCAGCAATCCATTGAAAGCAGCTCCCCCAGCCACCATGATCCCTATGGGCCCAATGTCTCCATTGTACAATGGTTATGGAGTGGATTATGATCGAGCCAGCTCAGGTAAGTGGCTTGTCTTGACTGAATTGTTCTAGCCCCACAGCTAGTTCGCAGCTAGTGGAATTAACAGTCAAAAACAGGGGTGTCAAACTCAAATTTCATTGAGGGCTGCGTCAGGGCTGTGGTTGACTGCGGAGGGGCGTGGCCAACTGGGTGGGCGTGGCCAGCCTGATGCCACTCACTGGGTGTGGCTGAGTGGGTGGGTGTGGTCGAGTGGGTGGGCGTGGCCATCGACGCCACTCCCCAAACTGCTGGCATGTTTCCTCTTCATACTGGGCCGAAGCAGGGGTGAAATGCTACTGGTTCTCTCCGGTTTGGCTGCTTTCTAGCGAAGCTAAATCGCGCGGCACAGCTGTTCTCCCCTGCTGTTCTACTTATCTAGTGAAGTCTTTTTCCACGCAAAGCGTGCGTTTGGCTCGCACTGCGCATGCACAGGCAGCGAACCGGTGGCGATCCGAAGAGGATTTCACCACTGGGCCGAAGTCACCCTGGCCCGATGTTTCCTTTCCCACTGGATAGACCAGGCCAAGGCGACGCGGGCTAGCTCCTTATATTTTCCTGGACAGCCCCGCGGGCCGGATCCGACCACATTGCGGGCCTTGTGTTTGACACCCCTGGTCTAAAAGATCTTGTGCTACTCTGAGGTTTACCCTTTTGAGTTGTCTCCTTGCATTTTGGATTGTCCTCAAATCTAATTGGATGTCCTTTCTGGATGTCCCTAATGCTAGATCTCTTTGACCATTGGAATCAGTTGATAAAAATTGGGGGGAAGGGAAGAATTCTCTCTCTCTCTTTGGAAAGCTTCAATCAGCAGATTTTTGTTATGTTCTGGTTCTCTGGTATTAAGCAGAAAGTTAGACCAGCTAGCCACTTATTTTATGGCTTGTCAGGGCTTGTATTGTAATGTGCTTAGTGAAAGCATAGCTTACAATGTTGTATTGCAGGCCGCTGCTAGGATTCAGAAGTACAGCCACGGGGCAGTTTGTCCTGCCTACTACTGGTTGCATGTGTCACATCCCTTTTATGGAAACCTTTTTCTGTCTTATGATTGCATTACAGTTGGTGGAAACAGCTCCCAAGTGCCTCTCCTGAGGGATACAGAAAGTGTGGCAAATGCTGGTAAGAAGCATGGAATGGAGTACCGAGTTTGCTTAGATATTGTGCTTCTGTCTGATCAGGCTTGGTTGTGGGGAAACCGCTCACGCTGATGATTCAACATTTTGTTCATCGGAGGAATTATAATGATCACGTTGCTTCACTTGGCTGATCCAGCTGTTTGCAGCTGAGGGTGATGCTAATTCTTCTTCCTACCACATAGAATAGGAAACACTGTTGTAGTGCTTGGCTTCTGGAGTGCCACTATCTTTGCTGCTGAATTTTTAGATCTACCCTTCCTACATAGAAAAAAAAAAAATCCTCCTCTTTTCTCTAATTGGTGCCGGGCAGCTATGTTAGGATTTCTGCTTGCCGAATTGCTACCTAGTATGACCAAGGTGGAAGTCCAATACATCTAAGCTTCGTAAAATTAAACCATACTCATTTTAAACAAAAACCCTCCCAAACACTTGTCAGAAGAGCTATCTTTTGAAGAGACGCAACCTGAGACATTTTTTTGAGATTCATGCAATCTCTGTGCCTAGCAAGATTTTGCTAGACATCAGCGGGCTGAAAATATGAACTTTTCAAATGTTGGCTCTTCGAGATAAATTCTCAGTCCAGCAGGAAGGTCTTCCCTCCCTCCCTTAGAAGGGAAAACATGAACCCACTCTTTGTCTATAGTATTACAACCTTGAGCTTTAACTCTAAATTTGTTACTGAAGCAAGAGGTAACTAAATCTCCCGACACCCCCCATCCCGTGTGTTCTTCATGCCACCAGTTACATCTGCTGCAATCAGCAGCACTTGGTGCAAAGCACAAAAGGGGGATTACAATTGGCAGAGAAGATCCTGCCTCCTATTTCAATTTCAAAGGCGACAGTGGTGGGTGAATCACACGATTGCCAACTTACTTGGCAATCTCCCCAAGGCATACGGCTCTGTAAAAATAAAAAATAAAAAAATAACTGCCCTATGTCCTAAAGCCTGCTCCTGATCTCTCTTCCCCAGCTGTACGCAGTGGTTATCGCATCCAAGCCAACCAGCAGGATGACTCCATGCGGGTGCTCTACTACATGGAGAAGGAGCTGGCCAACTTTGACCCTACTCGGCCAGGGCAGCCCAATGGGAGGCTTGAGAAAGGTACTTGCTGGGGTCCTTCTGTGTAGGAACAAGAGTGTGCCCAGTTGATCCTTCACTGAATTGTCACAGCAGCGTGCCCTTTAGTGTTGGGAGGAAAACGGATAATTAATTCTCTCTGTCTTGTTTTCCAGCCTCTGTGTTGAGTGAACTAAGCTCTCTTCATGAAGATGATCGGCGTTACGAGCTGCGGCAGGGCATGGGGAGGCTGCGTGGCCAGGCCATGTCTCCCATTAGTGACCTGGAGGAGGAAAGTGTACGGAGCAGCGAGAACCGGCGCTTGCTTCCCCCTGCCCCTTGGCGTGACCGTTATGAGGACTCCCCACCACGAAGCTATGGCCGACGCCCGCGTTCCCGCTCGGTAGATGCTCTAGATGACTATGAACGAGATTCCTACCCTTCCCAGCACAGAGGCCGGGGCCAGCACGGCTCAGACAATGAATGCCATCACCGCGATTATTCCCCTGACTCCCGTTACGACTCTGAGCGCTACTGTAGACGCCGAAGTCGAAGTCGGGATGACCTGCGGGATCTGGAGCGAACCCATTATGATGACCGGCTCTTGGAGGAAGCCCTACGGAAGAAGCAGCGGGCAGGTAGCCGTGAAGACCTGGATCATGGAAGCGCATCCAATGGGAGATCCGGCCACAGGAAAAAACGGGATGAAGATAGCAGTGGCTTTCCTCCGCCTCCTCCGCCTCCGTACACAGAGACCGAATCGGTGTCTTCCCGCAGCAAGGAGGACCGCAAGCTGCGAAGGGTGAGGTTAAAAAAATGGGGAGAAGACGCACAATTGTAATGCTTTATAAATGGAGATGTCCTGGATAAGGTGAAGTTAGATACAGATTAACAGAGTTGCACGGGATCTTGTAGGTTATTTAGTCCAAGCCCCACTCAAGAAGGAGACCCTACACCATTCCTGACAAATGGCAGTCCAATCTCTTCTTGAAAGCTTCCAGTGATGAAGCTTCCACAACTTCTGAAGGCAACTTCTGTTCCATTAGTTGATTGTTCTCACTGCCAGAAAATTCCTCCTTATTTCCAGGTTGAATCTCTCCTTGTTCAGTTTCCATCCATTATTCCTTGTCTGGCCTTCAGGTGCCTTGGAAAAAAGCTTGGCCCCCTGTGGCAGCCCCTCAAATATTGGAAGACTGCTATCATGTCTCCCCTGGTCCTTCTCTTCACTAGACCAGCCATGCCCAGTTCCTGCAACCATTCATCGTATATTTTAGCCTCCAGTCTCCTAATCATCCTGGTTGCTCTTCTCTGCACTTTTTTTTAGAGTCTCAACATCTTTTTTATAGTGTGGTGACCAAAATTGGATGCAGTACTCTAGGTGTGGTCTTACTAAGGCTTTATAGTTATTAGGCTTATAATTGTCCCTTTGAGCAAAATATTCACATTATTGTTAAGTGTGTATGAATGGTTTGTGCATTATCTTTCGTTATCATGTATTTGGTTGTATTTACACTACTTAATGCAGTGTAAACCCACCCAATCATGCCTTTTTGAATAAATCAGGACCAGACAAACCACAGACCAAATTGAAAGTATTTTCTGCATGGGATAAATCAAGCAGATTTCCTAGGATTAGTCCTATTCTTTAAAATTGAATTAGCAATCACTGTTGTAGGAAAACCCCCTACATTTAGATATTTAGATATCTAAATATTTAGATATCTAAATAATTAGATATCTAAATATCTAAATATCTAGATATTTAGATTTAAATATCTAAATATAGATATTTACATTTCTAAAAAGATATAGATAAATATTGGATTTATCTATATCTTTTTTATGTCTCAGTGAAATCCTGATCCAAGAAGCCAATGTTTGCACCTTGGAGCCTGTCTGCAAAATGTGTGTTTGGGTGTGTGTAGCCAGTGTGATATTTACTTTTAATCTTGTGTTGTTAATCTTAAAACGATTCTGAATATACTGGAGGAGATTTTATGATATGATTAACCTTGATTTTTCTCTTTCCGCTACAGAATCATGCTGTCAGCAGAGAAAGCTTGGTGGTTTAATTCTTTCCGCTCTTTCTGGAATATGAGAGACCGTGGGTTGAATGGCTACAGGAACACTCTTCATGTGTTAGCATTTGTTTTATTCAGGAGAATAAAAGATGAAACGGGACAGCATTTATGTTGGATCTGAGCAGTCATCAAAAAAACATGCTGACTGCACCCGGTCACCTCTCAATGTCTTAGCTCATCTTCATCAGAGGCAGGCTAGGATTCTTCAAGATTCTTTTAAGATTCTTAGTATTATAGACATTGTAAAACACATTTTGGGTACCCCTTTTGAATTTCAGAGCGATCTATTTCTGAATGTGCTATTCTGGAAAGAGGATCATGTGATCGCTGGATACTGTTCAAACAGGAAGGAATTGTTTATTTCATTGAACACCACATGGACATCGAACTTGCCTTTTATTTCCCCCTCCCCTCCTGTAATTTTGAAGAGGATTCCAAAGAAGATACATTTATATATATTACCTTTTTCATTCTGATTTTAAAGGAGTTCTTTAAACACATTTGATACTTAAATAATGTGACTGTGTGTATAATTTTAGGGGTTTTTAGAATCCGAGTATGAAATTACTGATGCTGTAAATATTTAAGTGATAAGCGAGCAAGGTGTTTGTTTGTTTTTTTACCTTACAATTTCTGTATTATTTTTTTTTAAATGAGATTACATTTTTATAGTAATGAAAATAAAAATGAACAGAGCTCCTGTATCGGCTAGGTTCAGCATTTTCAGAGCAGACTGAAATTCCTCCTGTTATCAGTCTTAGTCCAGTCTTCCCAGCTCTTTTATCTTCCAGATGTGTGAGATTGCATATTGGACATCTATAAACACATTCTGAAAGTTACCCGCCATACTGGAGGACGTGAGAAAATGTGAATGATTCGTTCATTTTAATAAATAACAGATTCCTGCAGTTGCTGTTTATTTTGAAAACAGTCACCTGTGCATTGTTGGATGACTTACAATTCATCCTTTCCTGAAACTTGTCGTCGTTGCAGTTTTACAGAGAGAAAAATAAATATAGATGGATGATACTTTAGAACTGTCCAGCAGGAGGCAAAAATTCTTGTGTAGAATTATAACATAATTCCATGAGTTGCTAGCACAGAATGTGTTTGTGTTCACCAATCAGGTCAGCTACCTTTACATATCTTGTTGAAATGGTCATAAAACAAGAAAGACTACCCTCGCTCTTCAATGCCTTCACAATGTAGGGATGTGTTTTCTGAATAAAAAGGCGAGATTTTTCAATGGTGTTCAATGGGTATTATTCGTAGCATAAACAGATATTCTCAAGGATATGTGTACAAAAAACCCGCATAGCATTTTATAGGGGTGAAACTGCATGCAACAAAGCTGCAGTGAGCAACAAAGCAACACAGAAAATGGTCGTCTGTGTTTAATTCTTGGCAAGCAATAATGTCTCATGGTACAAACTTCCAGCCACCACTTTTAACTGCCTGATCAATTAGGGTGGGTCCTTCCTAAGATTTCTTGTCTCTCTTTCCCTCTTCTCCCAGGTCATCTTGATATTCCATTAAAACACAGGTATCAAACTCGTGGTGTCACATTGCCGTCATGTGACGTTTCATGACATTTTTTTTCCCTTCGCAGGGGTGGGCGTGGCCTGCGCATGACACACCTGGCCCGCGGGCCGCCAGTTTGACAGCCCTGTTAAATCATGTGTAAAGCTTGAATGAAGCAATCCTGGTGAACAGGAGCAAGATGCAGTTCTTTTATTTTTAAAAAAGTAGTTTTAGGTATGGAATCCATGGATCAGGGGTGTCAAACTCGTGGCCCGTGGGCCAGATGTGTCATGCTCTGGCCATGCCCACGCCCTGTTTAGCGAAGGGGAAGAAAGTCACGATACGTCACGTGATGACGCGAGTTTGACACGGCTGCCATAGATAGTGTAGTGATGTCGGATTTGGACTAGAAATGGGGAGCCTGTGAGTTCTGCTCCCTCTGGGATGGAAACTGGTCATGTGTTTTTGGCTTATCCCTCTCCTCGGCCCAACCCATCTCACAGGGTGCTGTTTGTAGGAAAAATCAGCATCAAGGGACATTGCCTTGTACAAAAATGAGGATATAAATCTAACAACATAGCTTCCTCCTTTTATTTATTGTACTTAGAATTTAGAGCCCACTAACCAGTAACTTCAAATAAATGGATCAATAAATAATGTGTAGGGTTTTGTTTTGTTTTTGTTTTTTTGAACTTTTTAAATGGATAGCTAGAACCTGCAACATCAGATTGATATCAGATCTGATTCCTTTATCCATTCTGCTGTTTTCTAACTAAATAGTCACCTTTTTTTCGGTAGATAATTCTTGCAAATCGCTCCTTTAGCCTTGTACCTTCCATCCAGTTTTGCTTTATTTCTTGACCTACTTTCATCCTAGACTCCTTGAGCTTTCTATTTATTTTTATTTGCTCCAATTTATGCACTGCCATTCTGTTTTCTTTAATTGCCCTGGCCTAAACTGCCTTTTCCCATATAAGATCTGTCCAATCTTTTCCAACACTGCCAAACGGGGGGAAAAAACATTTGTTTGCCCTCCCAAGAAGTATACAATGCTAATAATAATCACTGCTTCGTTCAAGAAGTCCTTTAACACTTTGCAATACTCAAATCATTTTATTGGGCCTGAAAACAACGGTTTACAAAAGCCTGCCATACTGAATCAAATGACTCTGCAAAACTGCTTACTACTGTTTTGCCAAGATTTAAAATGGCAGTTTGCGGAATGAAATCTGTTGAGCTGAGCGCACAAATAAAATCGTTTCATGTGTTTGTTTAATGATTTGCAAAAATGGGTTTTTCAGTCACTAGATGTCAACTCACGAAATTATTTTTATTTTCGTCAAGCATGTATTTTATGACATACAAGTGTAAACATAATTATAAATACATGAAGAGGATATGAATAAAAGAAAACATTAGGACAGGGACAGTAGGCACAATGGTGCACTTATGCATGCCCCTTACAGACCACTTAGGGTGAGGTCTACAGTAGACAGTCTTAAGGTTAAAGTTTTGGGGGTTTGGGGAAGAAACCACAGAGTCTGGTAGTGCATTCCTGGTGTTGACAACTCTTGTTACTGAAGTCGTATTTTCTGCTGTCTAGTTTGGATCGGTTTACTATGAGTTTGTATCTATTAACCTATTTTGGTAACTAGATCTAATTATAAATTGAATTACTGCTTTCATTAATTCCCATTGGCTCAGGTAACCTAGAGAATCTTATCTGAATCCCCACCACCTGATTGCTCTGTGCCTCCGTGTCCTTGGCGGAGCAATTCTTTCTTTGTTGCCATTGTTCCTCTTGCATGCTTCAATGGAGAGCATGAGTTATTTTTAGCTGCGTTTCATCATTGCCCTGGGCCTCCAAACCAATCATCTGTGCAATTCTGTAGAGTCAAAACCCGTCTTCAAACTCTTGTCCAGCTGATCCTTTCTCTGGCTTCACTAGGATGCTTGTGATGGTGAGAAACAGAAAGACAATACAGGATTCCAAAAAATGGACCTTGGGAAATAAAATGATTATGGCAGATTGAGATAGAATTGTTTTCTTGAGGGGAGATAGTGATGGATATGAAGGTCTGAAAGATGCTTCTATTGATGCTACTGCCATCTTCTTCATCTATTGAGTGATGGAAGTAATGTGAGTAAGACAAACACATTCTTCATTCCTAAACAGAAGATTGAAGTGGAAAATCTAGATCAGCTGTAAAGGATTTTTTTAAAGGCTTCTAATCACTGTTGTCCCCACAAAATCAGGCTTTATAGTTTCAAATTAGTATTTTTAAATGAATCCAACCACAAAGCAATTTTAAAACAGGAACACTGAGTTCAGTAGGTTCAGCTGCTAAGATATGGTTTGTCTGTATCTGGTTTAGTACAATGCGAAATCCCAGCTGTTGTTTACCAATTATGTTGAAGATAATTTGAATTTATTCAAGCAAAAAGCAGTGGCTTTGCATAATATTTGAACTCAGCCTTTTTCTTAAGATATTGTCCTCTTTTCAGGAGCTGATGGCAAGAATGATGTAACCTGGATGCTTTTTGCTTTTGTCCTAGTCATGGAACATGAAATGGGATGGGAAGCTTGCTATAGATCGGGGTCTCCAAACTCTTCAGCTCTCTTCATGAATTTTCAGATTGTTCACCGATTCCCTCAAACCAGGAGTGAAATCCAGCAGGTTCTGACAGGTTCTGGAGAACCGATAGCGGAAATTTTGAGCAGTTTGGAGAACCGGCAAATACCATTTTTGGCTGGCCCCAGAGTGGGGAGGAAATGGGGATTTTGCAGTATTCTTCCCCTGCCACACCCACCAAGCCACACCATGCCCACCAAGCCATGCCCACAGAACCGGTAGTAAAAAAAATTGGATTTCACCACTGCCCCAAACATTTATTATATGAAAATAAGTTAATAAATAAGTAATAGTACTAGTAAAGTAATAAATATTACTTTATTTATTATGACTAAATTAAATAAATTATAAATGAAGAGGCAGCTGTGATTTCACATTGTATATACAGTATAATACCTTAGATTGTTAGATACTTGGTTAGGAATTTGAATTAAGTTTTTGTGAATCTTATTGTAGATTATTCATATAATAATAGTAACATGAACAACAAACCCTAGTTAATGCTGCCTCACCACAAGCTACCTCACCGTTAGTGCTGATTGGCATGGAACTCTACAGAGACCCAAAGGGATTGAGTCCAATTAACCTTCCATCATTTTTCAACCACCTATTGGCTCCCAGCCATTTTTCAACCCCTTAGATCAGGGCTGTCAAACTCTTGGCCCACGGGCCAGATGTGTCACGTTCTGGCCACACCCGGTTTAGTGAAGGGGGAAAAAGTCCCGATACATCATGTGACGCTGCTGTGATGCCGTGAGTTTGACATCCCTGCCATAGATAGTCCCATGAATTCTTGAGAATCCATATTGACCACTTCGATGAACTCTGGGCTAGATCTTCCGTGTTGGCTAGGTGTGCTCTAAGAATGATGTTTTTTCCCAAGGACATAGAGGAGAGCGACTGTTTCATCAGCATCCTTCTTCCCCCTTGTTGCTCCCGTTTCTTAAATTATTAATAGCTCAATTGTGCTGGCTCATCTCAACATCAGCACCGAAGCCGGCTTGTACCTGTGGTGCCCTAGCACCATGTGGCAGGGCTGAGATGCAGAAAACCAATCAGAAGGCAAAACCAGTCTGGAAGAGTTCTTGCTAATGTTCATCTGCTGAAACATTTATTCTGTCTTTCACACTGAATCTGTTTTTTCCTCCCCTTCCAGCTTTTTCCTGTCTCTGTTCAAAATCAAACTTTATATTAGTTGTAATAATAGTCCATATTAGCTGAATGATTTTTAATGGGCTAATACAGGGACTCAAGGGACGCGGTGGCTCAGTGGCTAAGACACTGAGCTTGTCGATTGAAAGGTCGGCAGTTCAGCGGTTCGAATCCCGAGTGCCGTGTAATGGGGTGAGCTCCCATTACTTGTCCCAGCTTCTGTCAACCTAGCAGTTCGAAAGCACGTAAAAAATGCAAGTAGAAAAATAGGGACCACCTTTGGTGGGAAGGTAAGTGTTCCGTGCGCCTTTGGCATTTAGTCATGCCGGCCATATGACCACGGAGACATCTTCAGATAGCGCTGGCTCTTTGGCTTTGAAATGGAGATGAGCACCACCCCCTAGAGTCAGGAACAACTAGCACATATGTGCAAGGGGAACCTTTACCTTTAATACAGGGACACAATGTGCAAGCTTCCAGGTAGGTTCTCAAGAATTCTTTCTCACAAGGAGTGACCCTGATGAGTTTATGCACTGGAGACAAATTCCTTGTATGTCCAATCACACTTGGCCATTAAAGAATATTCCTATTCCCTAATGCTTTATTCTCTCTCTTTAATCCTTTGATGCAGAATTTCTGAGAACATAAACACTTGCACCCTAATAGGAATGTGGATTTTTTTTTCCTATTCCACCCCCTCCCCCAAGAGTTGAAGATCCAGTATCTGGTTATTACTTGCAAGCAAGCGGTGCGCTAGATTGTTTTTTATTTATAAGCACTTGAAAATATCTAGGAACTGCTGGGGGAAAAAAAAAAGACACATTTCAAGTTATTTATTTTGATGTTTATTTGAAAACTGCTTGTCTCTCTTAAAATGTTGTTGACCAGCACTGAGGAAATCTAGTCTCCAAATTAAAACACCCCAAACTTAATTTCTTGCAGGCCTCCCCCTCCTCTTGCTCAGCTGATCAGATTCCCACACAGGTGTGCTGTAACCCAAAACCCCTGATTTTTCTCCAGCCTTTTTCCAATTCTGATCACCCCAGCTAACACGGTGGGGCATAGACTATGGGGAAATGTAGGTTCCCGTAGGGTTTGGCAGGAGCCTCTTCATAACCCAAAAGAGTCTAACAACAACGCACAATGGCAAAAGGACAGGAGGGGGGAAAAAAACCCAAAAAATATCCCCTCTCCACAAGGCTCATCATTCTCCTTCAGCCGTGGCAGGTAACCACAGCCTCACTGCGCACGCGCAAATGGGAGGCCAAAGCAGCCGTTAGGATGCTCCGGGTACCACCGACCGACTTGAGCGGCACAACGCACGCGCATTACGGCTCCTTTGAGAGCCCCCCCTTCCCCGTTTAGAGACAGAGGGAGGCGTGTCTTCTGAGAGGGGGGGGGGGGGATAGGCTTCGGCTGCTGGGCGAGGGGGCGGGGCCTTAGGCGTTGCCTAGCAGCTATATAAGCCACCTCTTGGCCGTTACTCTCCGTGTTCGACGCCGTCGAGGATCTCGTTTCGGTTGGGGAGGCGGACAGGTGAGCGGGAGGGAAGGGCAGGTGGAGAACCAGGGTGGCCGGCAGCCCTCAAGAGGCAGGGGGCTTCTTAAACGACTTCCCCCCCTTCCCCTGGCTGCTCTAGGGGGTGTTGGGGGCACCTCCCATCATCCTGAGTTCAAGCTAGTGGGGGATGATGGGCATAGCAGAGGAGTAATTAGAGGAACCCCCCCACATCAAGCAAAATGAGGGGGAGGGGGGGCTTATATATAAATCAGCCAGAATTGTGCAGATGAAGAGAGGGTGGTGTGGAGTGATTTAAACAAAGATGCTAGAGGGGGAAAAAAAAAGGGAAACGAAAAGACTAGGAATGGACCCTAAAAAAAAAAAAAAGGGGGGGGGGGAGCAGAAGTAAATCGAAGGGGTTCCCCAATATGCTGGTTTGTGGGAGAGGGAGGAAGGTCCCTTAAAAAAGCCGGATAACCTTGGAAAAGGCATACAAGGTTATCCGGGAGGGCATCCGTAGCGTTTGGTGGGCTGAAGGAGGGATGGGGGCGGAAGGTGGTCTTAACCTGGTGAGAAAAGGGTGGATGGGGTTGTGGGACATTTAGAGGAGTGATTGTAGCTTCTTGGCACGCAATCGATATCTTAGCTCTTAACAATGATACCTTGCTCTTCTTCTATGGGGGAAAAAATGAGAGTTGGTTTTTGCTCAAGCCTTTGGAGGAGTGCAGGCTTTTTTTTTTTTTGACCCCTTGGTATTATCTGGAGGGCATTTCTAGATTTGGCATGGGGGAGAATGTCTTAGATGGGATTGCTAGCCGCCGCAAGGGAGGACCTGGGCTGGTTGCTGCAAAAGGGCAGAAAGCAAATGGGGAAAAAGGGAGAGCCCTTGTCCTTGGGAAGAGAGGATGCCTGCAATAGTCTTGGGGGGATTATGAACAGCTGGGGAAGCTTACAGCCTTTGTGAGATGCAGCAGGAAGGATTATCTGCTCTTCTTGCTAGAGAAAAGATCCCGGAGTACGGGAAGATGGGAATGCAGAGTCATCTGCTTGTGCTCCCTGGTCTGTGCAATGGCTCCCTCTAAAAAATGCAACTGCGTCAGAAACGCCAGGAGAATTGATAATCCTGATTAGATTTAGAAGGCTGCTAGATGGGGAGCTTCAGCCCTTGACCTTCACTTGGGAAAGGGAGCACTTTTTCTGTTGGTTGGTTGCAGAAATCGAATGCAATATTAATGCTATCTACTGTATGATTTTTTTCTCCCCTTCTAGCTCCCTTAAACCTAGCTATTGGATTCCCTCACTCCATTCCCTGTTCCTGTTTGAGAGAAAAGGGTTATTTACCCTCTTCTAAAATCATATTAAAAATTTGTTCTAAATATACCCTGATATATTCATACTTAAGTGGAAAAAGGTACTGTGTGGCTATATGCATCTTCAGGTGTCTGGACTAGTTCATTTAACATCTGATTTCATCTTTTTGAAATGGAGAAAGTAAAAAAAAAAGACCCCTCTAGTTTGCTTGCTTCTAAAATTCAGCTCTGATTGCACAGATCTGCCTTGTTGATGTGACTTTCTCACTGGCATAAAAGACAGGGTTAGGATAACCTTGCCTCCATTTGCCAGCAGGATCCTAGGTAGCAGTCCTGCATGATTATTGTAAGAATGTGTGATATTGGGAATAAAACCACCCCCTCTATTGCAAATTAGACAGTGTAGAACTGTCTGTTCTTCCTATGATGCACATTTTTGTGCTCAAATATTTTGCCTATATATTTTTTTAAAGCCCTTAAAGCCTAGAGTGATGGTTCTAAATTTAAGCATACAGAACATTGTGTTAAAATGTTTTTTTAAATCTTAATTGTCACTAGTTGACTAAGCCAGAGTGGCCTGATTTTTGCACAGTTGCTTAGTCACGGTGGGCAACCCACATTAAGCTTGATGGTACAGGAAAGTGCAGCTGGTGTCTGGCTAGCTTGTCTGCATTGGAGATTGCAGCAGCTAGGTGGATTTGGGGGAAAAATGATCTTGGGATGAAATGCCTGACCTTTCTCTGATAGGGAGATATAAGCCTTCATTACTGCGGTGAATGGATTATTTTGTCTAGGCCCCCAAAGGGAAGCATGCAAGTTGGGCTTCTTGTCTCTGCTATGGAAATCAGAAGCCAGCAATGGAGGGCTGGAGGCAGATACCGGGTGGAGATAGGACAGACAATTTTCTAATGGAAAATTTAGATTGCATTTGCTGTCAGCAGGATCAATGCGTAGGCACTAAGAAATTTCTACTTAAATTTCTGTCGCTATAGTTGTGTGTCTGACATTAAAAACACTATATCTAGCCTACATTGTATATAAGCCACTTCTTGGGCGTCATTCTATGCTAGGGACTTCTTCAAGGTCATATCTGTTGCAACCTAGATAGGAAAAAAAAAAAAATCCAGACTGCTTGTACATGACGAGACTGGTCCTGGGCTGGTATCTCCTTAATATGTTTTTGGGTAAGCTTGGCGCTCAGTTCCTGGCCACGGAGTAGCACTGCAGCAACTGAGAGCCTGCAATGAGAATGAGAATGCATTTTTTTTTTTAATGATAGGTGAAAGTTTTCATTGCATATATAAAAGGTTGGAGTATCAAAAATGGTATAGTCAATTTTATGTTGGTAGGGAATAAATATTTCCTGGGCTAATCTTTTGTGGCTATTATTAAATCCCAAGCCATTGCCAAATATGCTTATACTAATAGATGCTGAATATGCCAGCTTATATATATGTTAAATAAAATAAATAGACGAGAAGAGCCTAGAATTACAGAAGATAGCTCATATTCTCCAATTTTTGATTTCTATAGCAACAGTTTTTCATACCTGAACTGCAAGCTGTTGCTACTGCTATACTTCAGAAGAAAGGTTTCTTTCTTTCTTTTGGCTTTGCATTTAAGGTATGTATTCCAGCTTCCTTTTAGTGCAGTGTTACACATAAATAATTACTAAACAAAAAGATTGTCATGAATCGGCTAAAATGTTTCTTTGGGAGTACTGCAGACTTGAATTGGCAGGGATGAAATGAAGATGGCTTCTGTTCTGTCCAGTAGTTGCCAAGAAGTGCGGGATGTGCTGTCAGAAAATGATTTCAAATAAACACAAAGTCCAAGGGGATGTATTTATTGGGACAAAATGTGTGTCTCATCGGATTACCTGGCTTAGTTTGATTTAATACAAGGGTCCCCTAACTCTTCAGCTCATCAATCCCTTTATGAAGTTTCAGATTGTTCATCAACCATGAAACACATGAAAGTAATAAATAGTACTTTAATAACAACACAACACAACGAATAATAATAGATAACAGTGACTTTATAAAATAGGCAATATTTAAAATATGTGGTTTACATACCTTTTCTTACTAAAACTGTTGATATCATTAATGGGAAGCCTGCATCAAAAAAGGGCATTGACATTTGTTGGAGAATAGTGAACTTTAATCACAATCTTCCAGGAACAGTCTTTTGACACCCAGACATTTATTGATCTTATTGTGACCACCAGCTGTTTATTGACCTCTTGGATAGACTGACTGATCCTTGGGGTTGATATTGACCACTTTGGGGAACCCTGATTTAATAGATCTGTGCTGGGAGGGAAACAGTCAGGGGTGAAATGCTACCAGTTCGCTCTGGTTAGGGCAAACCGGTAGTGATAAAAACTACCGGTTCAGGCAAATAGGTAGTAAAAAATGCTTTAAAAAAGTAAAAAAAAAGGTTCCAACGGTTGCGCAGCACAGATGATTGTCAATCAGCTGTGCTGCGCGATCGTCAGAACCTTTTTTTTTACTTTTTTAAAACATTTTTTTACTACCTATTTACCCAAACTGGTAGTAAAAAAATGCTTTAAAAAAGTAAAAAAAAAAAGATTCCGACGATCGCACGGCACAGCTGTGATCATCGGAACTTTTTTTTTTACTTTTTTAAAGCATCTTTTTACTACCGGTTCGGGCGAATAGGTAGTAAAAATGCTTTTAAAAGTTTTTAAAAAAAGACAGTTGGCCACGCCCACCCATTCACATGACCCCCACCAAGCCACACCCACCAAGCCACGCCCACAGTACCGGTAGCAAAAACAATTGCATTTCACCACTGGAAACCGTGCACTTCAGTTGGAGTATCCCCCCCCCCAAATCTTTCAGCTCAAGAAGACCCAAAAAGTCTTTGAAGATACACATTTAGGATAGTTAATTGAAACCAAGTATTTTGCCCTATCCCAAATTGTTTGAGATAATACATTTGTCAGTCTGTGAATTAGAACATAAAAGGAAAATGAAGCAAATAATTTTGAAAAGGGTTTGTGGATGGAGATGGAGTGAAGTGTTTTCTGACAATGGTTAAAGAATGCTCAGCTGAGAATATTAACTTTTTTTGAAATCCTGTTTCAGTGTCTCTAGGCAGAGAAGCAGTAGATAGGTCAGCCAGTATATGAAATCAACGCAATAGTTCACCGAAAATGGATCAGTGTAGCACATCAGTTAGTGTCAAAGTGTTCAGGTAAGAAAATATCTTGAAAGACTTTAAAGGTTAACTGCTAACTCTCCACCATGAAGTTTATGGAATCGATATAATCAATGGTAAGATCTTCAGATTTATGCCCTGAAATAGGGAGGAGGAACTTGTAATCTTCCAGACATGGTTGAACTGCTTTTCTCAGCAGCTTCAGCTGACCTGACAAATGGTGAGGATGATGGAAATTGTAGCCCAGCAGTGTTGGAGAGGTGGGCATATGTTATCCAACGCTTCATTAAAGGATAGTGGTATGCCTATCAATATTGAGAATTGTACTTGGAAAGAAATGACTTTCATGTCTACTCACAAACCAAGATCAGTGGAGGGATAGGTGTTGGAGCAAAAATAACAGCATTTCCAAAATGTCTTTTTTAGAAGCCTGCCTAGCCACATGGAAATTATTTAACATCTATCTGTTGTATAAAGTGTATTTTTTGCTGAATGAGTATTACAGCTATACATGGAAGAAAATATTTTCCCTGTTTGGCGACATCCAACAACTTTTTGGTTGTCCTCTCAAATAATTATCTTGAATATTGTTTACATACATAAATACCAGTATTTCTGAGCATTCGTTTTTGCTTGTTTGTTTCAATTTCACAAATATCACGCCCATTAGTCTTGAAAGAATTTGTAGAAACAGTTGAAGATATTATGGTGATTGGAGTAGATATGTACATGAGATCTGCCATTCCTTCTCTCTTGGAATCTAAAGTAACACCTTTGTCAAATTTTAGTTCTCCAGATTCCTGAAGAAGAACTATAATAGTTTCTAATATGAATTTAATAATAGGTAAAATGTACTCATTGCAATCATTGATCAGAAACCATGACTTACAAGTCATAATGGCTGGGTTTATATTTTGTATTAAGCCAAATACAAATAAATAATAGAATGGCTTAGAGAGAAACCAATCTACATGTGAATTGGCCATAAGTGGTTCAAGAGAAAAATATTTTCAGATCCACAGTATGCACACATATACACACACACATATATATACATACATACACACACTATATATGTATATATGTATGTATACACACACAAACACAGACATAGCCTGATATAGTATAAGGCTATGCTAGAAGAAGCCTACAAATGTCAACCGAGATAAATTTGCAATTACTTTCACTCTTTTCGTGATGTTGATATTCCTCCAGGCTTGAGATCAGTGACGGGTCTCCTCCAAAGATCTCTCCTGAGCCAGTGCCAGGTACCCCGGAGTCAGAGCCCGAGCCTCAGCCACCCACCCCAGAGCCAGAACCAGAAGCTCCACCTCCACCCCCTCCACCGCCTCCACCACCACCTAAGAAACACATGGCGGAGTTTGCTGTTGGAATCAATGGGTAAGCTTTTTTTTTTTTCTTCAGTGTCCAGTGGATATTTTTGTATTTTGTTTTTTAAGACGAGGTTGGGAGATTCTGGGAGTTGGAAGTCCACATATTAGGAAACGTTAATCTGGTTTCTTGAAATTCCCCTCCCCCCCCATGATAGAAAATTAAATGGGTATTTTTTCTTCTTCTTGGTCTTTTGCAACAATAATGTTCAAACAAAACCTTTGTGATTGAATAAAGTTTGCTGGTTTGATTCTGAAGCCGGAATATTTGGGTTGCACTATGTGATTGTTTATGTTAAGTTGGAAAGTTGCAGTGAAACCTAGGTAGAAGCACAACATGAAACCGAGAGGCAAACCCCTGACTTCAAGCCTTCTAGTTTCTGGGAATCTTCCTGCTGTGTTTTTGTCTATCTGAAGGTCATAGCAATTTCCTGAGGCCACTTAAAAAACAGATATGGGCAGAGGTCATGCCCGTGGGACCCGAGCTTACCTCTCTCATGGTGGCTTGAGAATTCTGGGAGGTCTAAATGTCTTAAAATGAAAAATTCCTTATGTGTCCATCACACTTGGCCAATAAAGAATCTATTCTATTCTATTCTATTCTATTCTATTCTATTCTATTCTATTCCTATTCTATTCTATTCTATTCTATTCTATCTATTCTATTCTATTCTATTCTATTCTATTCTATTCTATTCTATTCCCTCCTCTCCTCTACATTCTACATTCTATTCTCTATTCTGTCTCCTCTCCTCTCCTCTCCTCCTCTCTATTCTACATTCTCCATTCTATCCTTTATTCTGTCTCCTCCTCCTCTCCTCTCTCTTCTATTCTGCTCTGCTCTGCTCTGCTCTGCTCTGCTCTGCTCTATAGGTTGAGAAACATTGCACTAAGGGAAGTCTCTTTTCAAGTAATCCCTTCTGCTCACCTTAATTGTACCAAAGGAATGTGAATATACTCTAATGGATGGGCTTCTTTGCTTTTGCAGATTTGGACGTATTGGGCGCTTGGTCCTTCGGGCCTGCGTGGAGAAAGGGATCAAAGTTGTGGCCATCAATGACCCTTACATTGATGTGAACTACATGGTAATGGCTTTCTTATGAGACCACACCAAACCTCTTGTGGAAATTAGTTTAGTTTCCTTACGGGGCAGGAAAGGAAGGCCTGATATGAAAAGTGTCAGAGTTCATTGAAACCCTGGTAAGAAGGTCCTTTCTACATGTCCCCGATCTCTTTCTGTAAAATATGCTGGAATGGAGAGGAAGTTGGGAGTCCAGCAATAGAGTGTAAGCAGAGGTTAGGACTTTTCTAATTTGATACCTAGTTATTCTTGGGAAACAGGAATGATCTCTTGTTTATAGGTAGTCCTTGACTTACGACCATAAGTGAGCCCAGAATTATTGTCATAAGTCGGTGCTGGTTGTTAAGTGAATCACTAAGTGACTGAACTGATTTTGCAACTTTTTTTTTTGTGGCACTTGTTAAGTGAATGCAGCAGTCATAAAACAAACCCATTGTTTGCAGTGGGCGTTTTTTGCTGGAAAATAAAAGTAAATGTCATTTCTGGCAAAAAAAAAAAATATATGTTGTAAATTGTAGGCCTGTGACCTCGGAGGCTGCAAATGGACATAAATGCAGACTGTTTGCCAAACACCCAAAATGCAATCACGTGACCACAGGGGTGGGATGGGGGCGCCGGATGTTGGAACTTCGAATTGGGGTTGTAACTAAGCAAGGACCACCTGTATAAGAATTAGGTGCCTAACCCTTTGAAAACCCAGCATCCTTGTGCAGTTGTCAGATGCCTGGACAAATGGAGATTGGCTGTCTCTTTTTAGACCTCTATCAAGCTAGAGAGGTGAGTGGTGCGGTGGCCTAGAGGTGGAGGTGTCTCCTCACAATCAGGAAGCTGTGAGTTCGATCCTAGGTAGAGGCAGATATTTCTCGGGGCACCATGAGAATATATCTGCTGAAAAAAACTCTGCATTGGCGACAGGAAGGGCATCTGGTTAGTAAACACTCAGCTCCATTCAGTTGCCCAGACTCCACTCCGGAAGGGATTATGTGGTCATTAAAAGAAGGTGATGATCAGAGAGATGGCACAAATTCAGTTCTCCTGGCATGATGTGGCTTTAGCTTCTTTCCTCCACAGGTCTACATGTTCAAATATGACTCTACTCATGGGCGCTTCAAGGGAGAGGTCATGGCAGAGAGTGGAAAGCTGGTAGTGAACGGATCAAAAATCTCAGTATACCAGTGGTAAGTGGGAATAAGACGGAGCATAATGCATTCATTCCATTTCAATGTTTTACCCATTTAAAATATTTTAGTATTTTAATATTCTCAGTAATGTGGTCTGCCCAGGGAACTTTGGTAGTTGGGCAGCTTAGAAAGACAGTTATGAGAATGTAACTATCTTTGTGTATGTGTGCCTTCCAATCATCGTTGACTCCTGGTGACAGTCTGGATTACTTCTGCAGGTTCCTTGGCAACATTCTTCAGAGGTAGTTTGCCGTTCTTTACTTCCTTGGGCTGGCCCAAGCTCACCCAAACGGCTTTGTGACTAAGGTGGAATTTGAACTCACCGTCTCCTGGTTTCCAGCCTGCAGCCTTAACTCCTGCGACAAACTGTCTCTCTTATCTACCCTTACGAGATGTCTATTTAAAGAAGTTGAGACTTTTTTTTATTGAGGCTGTGTAAACACTCAGCTGACTATAAGAGTGCACAACACTATTTCATGGGGTTTGTTCTGACCTAGGCTTCCTTAGAAAGTAAACAGCACAAACTTAGTCCCAGCAAACCTCTTTAATTCATATGGCTGTAAATTACTATCATTTACAGTCCGCAAGGCTTGATAAACAGTCTTTCACAGGAAGGTTATCAACACCCATCTATCTCACGTGGAATGCTGCCAAAGAGCTAATTTCCAGACGCAGGGCAAGGCCAAACTTGTCACAGAGTCACAAACAGAAGTTTCAAATCTTGAATCGGCCAGATGAACTAATTGCTTCCTGCAAAAGCTCATGTCCCATTCACTTCTCTTTTATGTCTTATGGGAGGGGCCAATTCATCGCCAAGCCTTGCTCCCAAGTCGACCCTGTTTCCTTAATTGTTCCTGTCTCCTGGCAGCTCTGCGCATGCACACACTGGGAACAGGCTCACGCTGTTCTTCTGCCTCGCTGATGTCAGACTCCGGAGGCAGAAAAGAACTACCAGATGGCCTTGGCCCCCTCTCTGCCTCCGACTCAGAGCCATCATCCAAGCCTTCCCCAGACTCCAGGACTGGTCCACGTTCCTCCCCAACCTCCTCACTGTCCGAATCTGTTGCCAGGTCTGGCCACTGGCGGACCACAACAGGGTTTGCATTAGTGCGGCCTCTGTGTGTAAGAAAAATAAAATGAAAAACAGAATTACACTATTTAGCAAATTTATATAGTTGCTTTTTGGTCAAATGTGTCTTTGGAGATGGAGTTCTTATAATGCTTTGGTTTTCTGACGCCTTCCCGGGGCATCATAATTTTGGATTTAAACAGGGTGACTAGTGATATTAGAGTAAAATCAATGCTTTGGGCTCTTTGGGGAAGGGTAGTCTTATCAATTCTCTTCCATTTTATACCATCTTCTTTCTATCACAATACAGATAATGCACTATAATGAAGCTGATTTGCTTGTCTGGATTCAGCATGTGTGAACTTTTACCAATTACCATTTATTGCACAACTCATTGCTTTTCCCAGTATGTGAATCTAGTTGAGGTGCTACTGCAGAAGGGTAAATCTTCAGTGGGAGTTGCACACTTAAACAAGAAAAGAGCATGTGAATGTCAGGGATGCTTGTATTTCTAAAGGTCAGAGAGGAGAGTGGATTCCATGACATGTTCATCCAATTACTTGGCTGAAGCCTAGGGGCCCTGAAAGTAATCTCCTGCTTGAGTAGAAGTCTGGGCAGGTGCAGGTCTGAATAAAAGTCTGAATAAAGATTGTCCTCTTGTATTTCATAGCATGAAACCAAGTGAGATTCCTTGGGCAGATGCAGGTGCCTTGTATGTAGTAGAATCCACTGGAGTCTTCCTCAATATTGAGAAAGCTTCGGTAAGTATCTTGAGGTAGGTCCTTTCTCTGAGATAAGTACCAGTGTAAAGGTAAAAGTTCCCTTCGCACATATGTGGTAGTCGTTCCCGACTCTAGGGGGCGGTGCTCATCTCCTTTTCAAAGCCGAAGAGCCAGCGCTGTCCGAAGACGTCTCTGTGGTCATGTGGCCAGCATGACTCAATGCCAAAGCGCACAGAACACTGTTATCTTCCCACCAAAGGTGGTGCCTATTTTTCTACTTGAATTTTTTACGGGCTTTCGAACTGCTAGGTTGGCAGAAGCTGGGACAAGTCACGGGAGCTCACCCCGTTAGACGGCACTAGGGATTCGAACCGCTGAACTGCCAACCTTTTGATCGACAAGCTCAGCGTCTTAGCCACTGAGCCATCGCATCCCCTAAGTACCAGTGTAAATGCCCTTTTATGATATTTGCTGGGTTTGAGGAGATTTCACTTAGATGCTTGTTTTTTATAATGGGCCAGCACAGATTTCTGCTGCAGTGGAATAAAGCATACAATCTTTTAGTTATCCTTATTGAGGCTGTTTGTCCTATTGCCTGTGGGCTGTCAGAATCTGATATTCTATAACGGAAATCTGCCATTTTTTTTACAGGCTCATTTCCATGGAGGAGCCAAGCGAGTAGTGGTGACTGCCCCATCGCCTGATGCACCCATGTTTGTTATGGGAGTCAACCATGAGAAATATGATCCATCTAGCATGAACGTTGTGAGGTAAGATCGAATTTGGCCAGCTGAAGAAAAGCTTATGAGTTGACGGGCAGTGACCAATCTATACAAAAATCAGTGCAATCCCTTCCTCCCTATAGGCAATTAAAATAGAAAATTAAGAAAATTAAGGCACAACATAGCAATTTCACAAAAACAGACCCATACCTATTGGGCTCTCCTAATATTCCTGGCCTTGAAGCCTTGGGGGAAAAAAATCCAGATTCTGGCAACCTTCTGAAAGGCCAAGAGGATTAGGGCCCTCTGAATCTTAGGAAAGAGGCTGTTTCATAGAGCTGGCTCTGTGACAGGAAAGGCAAGTCTTAGCGGCTCTATTCACACCATTTAAGAAACTTAATTGAGTAAGATTGCTTTGTAATTTCATTCTGTTGGGTGAGTTTATGGACCAACATATTGAGCAAGGTGTAATTATGAGGAAAGATTGGATGTGCTTTCTCAGCTAATATTTGAAGCTCATGGCATCCTTTAGAACTTTACCAAAGCCCTGTAAACAATGCTGTCTTGGCATGAATCATTAGAAAATGGTAGTTTTTGGTTCATATTTGATGGATTTGGAGATGGAGCTAAAAACTTAAGAGAACCTAAGAATACAGATCTGTGTTGAGATGTAACTTCATATGCGGGTTGTTGGGAAGGTGCTGAACAACAACAACAAAAAATCAGGGTCATGTGTAACTCTTGCTTTCCAGCAATGCTTCCTGCACCACCAACTGCCTGGCACCTTTGGCCAAGGTCATCCATGAGAACTTCGGCATTGTGGAGGGCCTGATGGTGAGAACAGTGTCATTCTTTCCAACGTGCTTATTCATTTCTTGATTTATGGCTTTTTTATGCTGCCAAATTCATACAGGAGAGCCAATTTGATGTCATGGTTAAGGCACCAGGTTAGAAGCTTGGAGATTGTGACCATAGACACAAAGCCAACTGAGTGATCTTGGGCCAGTCGCCCTCTTTCATTCCTACGAAGAAGGCAAGGGCACACCACTTCCAAAATCTTGGCAAGAAAACTTCAGGGATTTGTCCAACTGTTGTCAGGAGTCAATATTGTATTAAAGGAACACACACACACACACAAAAGAGAGAGAAAAGTAAAGACAGCTAAGTGCATATATAGATATAATCTACAGAGCTGTAAAAGCAATTCAACCTCAAAAAGAAAAAAAAAACCAGTTAAAATGACTTTCTTTATTCCAGAAAGAACACACTTTCTCCTTCTGATAAAATCTAGATACTGCCATTCCTGTGTCTCTTATAGCTATGAAGGTTTGAGAATGGAGTTTCTCAGGAGATGGCTGGGGGTGTTTTGATTAATCCCACACATCAACTAATAAGAAATTGCAGCACTTTCAGTTTGCCAAGTTATACAGTTATAGCTATCCTTAAGTACCAGGCTTCCTAATCAAGTTAAGGGGGTGGTGGTGTAAAATCCCAATTTTGGTTGGCCAACAGTCATATTTTGCTCTTATTTGCTTATAGCAAAATCATTCATAAATCATTTTTTTCCAGTTTGAAAACTGGAAAAAAGTTTTTTTGGGGGGGGGGAGATTTGCTATAACTTTTCATAAGTTTTGGCATGTGGCATTTGTGCATCAGTCCAGATAAAAATCAAAGATTGCAAATGATAGCAAATGCACCCTAAAGTATTATGTACTGGTTCCGTTTGTACATACAAAAACAGCCCCTTTAGGAAACCCAAGTGACTTGTTTTGATCGAATCTCCTGTTGAAAACGCTTTGTATGTCTGTTCCTATATATCAACTGACATCTCTGGTCTGCAGACCACTGTTCATGCTTACACTGCCACTCAAAAAACGGTGGATGGACCTTCTGCCAAGGCATGGCGTGATGGGAGGGGTGCTCACCAGAACATCATTCCAGCTTCTACCGGTGCTGCCAAAGCTGTGGGCAAGGTCATTCCTGAACTTCATGGGTATGCAGAACAAATTTAACTTCTGAAAAGTGGGGGGGAGGGGGAGGGCACTGTGCATTTGGGCCAATCTTAAAGATGTGACCATAAGAGACAAGCAAGGCTGTATTTCTAATTATTGATCTATGACCATGAGAATGAGGGAAAACCATAGAACTGCCAGGATTTCATTGTGAGAATATTTCTCGGACACCCAGATGTTTTATATTATTTATCCTGTAACCCAGAGGTCTTCAAACTTGGCAGCTTTAAGACTTGTGGACTTCATCTCCTAGAATTTTCCAGCCAGCTATGCTATGCTGGCTGGAGAATTCTAGGAGTTGAAGTCCACAAGTCTTAAAGCTGCCAAGTTTGAAGACCTCTGCTGTAACCCTTGATCATTAGCCATGCTTACTTTGAAGAATGAGCTAGTCTAAAACCTATCCTTACTTTTTTTGAGTGAGTTATATAGAAGGCTGTCGCAGTGGGGTCAATCTGCCCCAATGTGGTAGGTTGATGATGTCATTAAGGAAATAATGAAGACGTTAACAAAAACGGAGAAAACAAAATAGCACAGATTCTGCCAAATGATATTTATTGCAGTTGGGAATACTTATGTTGTGGTCTGTTGGCTGCCGGCCCCTCCAGCAGTCGAATCAGATGAGGAGGAGGCATGGGAGTCAGGGTTAGCATCAAAGCAACCCGAGTGCTCCGAGGGGAAAGAGGGAATGGAGCTGTCAGAGAGAGAGAGACAGAGGCGGAGCCTGGGCCATCCGTCAGCCCTTAGATGGAGAGTCAACATCCCCTAGATCTGGAGGTGGCTGATGAGGAAGAGGAGGAACAGCTGGGTCCCAGTGCCTGACGCGCAAATGCACAGAAGGCAGAGGAGAGGAGAGCAGTGGAAATCTATGGTCCGGTTCTTGGGATGGAAAAGCCACCGCTGCAAACAAAGCCCCATCCTAGCTCTGGGGATAAAAGGCAGGGGGCGGAGATGAATAGATGTGGCAGAAAACTCCCTGCTGGACAGACTTGTTAACCTGCATTGAGAGAGAAACTTTTTTGCCAGGGCTGCGGTGCTCCTAATAAAGGAATCATTGATTTAAATACAGAGGGTTTATCGTATTTGGGGAGCTGGGTCAGAACAACTTAGCTGGAGTCTTAGTCTTAAATGCCAGTTCTCACCCTCATTCCTTGGAGGACAGAGTGGTTGGTGGTAAGACACTTCAAATCTAGACCGCCATGGGAACTGTTTCTTTCTCCTTTTAATGACCAAATCTCTTCTCCACCCCTACCAGGAAGCTGACTGGCATGGCATTTCGTGTGCCAGTGTGTGATGTGTCTGTTGTTGACCTGACCTGCCGCCTTTCTAGATCAGCTACCTATGCTCAGATTAAAGAAGCTATCAAGAAAGCAGCTAAAGGGCCAATGAAAGGGATCCTGGGATATACAGAAGACGAGGTAAACATGCTGTTTATGTTTCCATTGGCGAGCTGCAGGATTATTTTAAGATGCTCCGATGAGCTATTTTAAGCTTCAGCAGATTTAAGGCAAGGCAACCTCTAGAGTAGGCCGGCATAATATGCTCTAACAGCTGATTGTTTTGTTTGCTTTTTGTAATAATGCCGACAAACGAAAGCCCGTGATAAGGGACAGGCTAGGGAAAGCCACTGGTGGATTTCTTGCTGGTGGGAAAAACATCACCAGTTGTTAATGTGAGTTGGGGGTGAAGGAAGGAAAAAGGTGAGTTTTGGTAGACAAGCCAGTGGGTTTAGTCTTGTGTGAAAAGCTGATCTGAGGAGTGGATGGGGGTTTCTGCCTTCTGTATGTTACCAGGAAGCCTCTGTTCACCCAGTGGATCAATTTTTGCCCAAACATCAGATTATCCATGGATTATCCTCTCTCTCTTTCCCCACCTCCCTCCCTCTCTCCTCTTTCAATCACCTGACTTACTCTTGCTTTTTTTCCACTCCTTTTTCTCCCTGTCACTCCATCTTACTCTCTTCTTTGCTCTCTCATTCTTGTACTCTCTCTACAGAGGTGTCGTGTGTGTGTGTGTATGTTTTGTGCTGAGCGGTGCTGGTGGATGGATTTTCATTCTTTAACCTGTGCTGTTTTGCTGGCAGTCAGAACATTTATCTATTCATGAAGACAAGGAGCTGGCATCAGATGCCCCATGCTTTCTCCTGCTGCTCAAGCCTTAATGCCCTTCGCCAGCGTTCAAAGGGAAGAGACTGTATCTGCGGCTTTGAAAATAGCCAGGGAGACCAGTGGGCAGGTCCCAGTGCCTTTTGTGTAACCACTGTAGTCAGGGGTAGTATTCATTTACCTTCGCTACCGGTTTGCAAATGTGAGCGAACACGCACGCTCGCTCCACTTGCACACACCACCTCTGCGTATGCGCAGAGCATCAAAAATGGGACGGGTGGGTGGACGGAGCCTCCTGCAGCCGCCGCTACCCGTTTGCCCGAACTGGATAGAACCGGCTGAATACCACCACTTACTATAGTCCTAGTAGAGGAGAACATCTGTAGCTCAAGGAACTACCAAGGAGGAAACCACACCCCCACCAAAACTGGCAGGGCAAATTACTATATATAAACAGGCAGGAAGCCCCATACTCTCTGACACTGAAGATGGATTATGAACTATTTGCAACCAAACAACCAAGCTCAGAGAGCACCAAGAACTGCACACCACTGAGATGCAAAAGATCGTGCATATAAAAAGCTGAGTGGGGAGAAGATGGTAAACACAGTTTTAACCTTGAATCAGATAAATATAGTTAAGCAGCCTCAGATATAGGCTGGAGACGAGATGACGTTATGTCATGAGGCCATGTCAATAATGGTAAGTGAGATAGCTTTGAGGCACAGTGGGATGTGTGGATAAACCTAAGGGCCAACTACAGGTTGTAACACTTAAAAACAAGTGCAATGCCAGACATGGTTTTTGATAAAGGGTATGTCTGTGGACTCTGTCCAAAATGGTGATCCCCTTTGCCAGGCTGCTTAATCACTTGGGATTGACGTGTAAAACATTTGAATTTGAAGCACTCCCATTTCAAGTGGAGCGCTCTTGATCTTCTTGGAAGGGTTTTGACATTCAAAATCCAAGCTTTGAGCCCAGGATGTTGGTTATTACAAGTATCTCCTTCCATCTTCTTTGTATACGGTAGTTTTCTCTTCTTTTGTTTGCAGATTGTTTCGACTGATTTCATTGGTGACAATCGTTCCTCTATTTTTGATGCCGCAGCAGGCATCTCCCTCAATGATAACTTTGTGAAGCTCATCTCCTGGTAAGCTGAATCCTTTGTTTCATCTCCCCAGTTGAGCTTTCCAAGATATTGTAGCTCATAAGGAAAATGGCCAGGGCATTATCTCATGATCTTTTGCCACAAGTAGAATTGCCCAACAAAATGGGCTGAGTTGCTTTCCTTCACCAGTAAGGATATATAGTTAGATGCCTCCAGTCTGTCAAAACACCAGACCATCACTTGCAGGGTTAATTTCATCAGCTAATTCAAATAATGGAGAAGTATTGAACTGTAATATGGAAAATACATCTGGCATTTCCCCCTCATTTAAAACTGGGATGTTTTCCCAATCCACAGAGTATATACACTGCATTCAGACATTGAGCTTCACTTAGCTTTAAACAGATTTGGTTACAAATGCAGGCATTGGATGGAAAATGATTTTTTTTAAAAAAAAATTACTGTCTTATTACGAATGGTCACTAAACAAGGTAGTTGCTAAACAGGGAATGCCTGTACAACTACCACTGACTTGCAACATGTTATAATTATAGATGATAGTTAGTGCATTTTTCCTTAACCCAGGGGTTGGCAATCTTAAACCCTCAAAGAGCCACAAAGGTCCTAACTGGAATCCCCCGGTTCAATTCTGGAGCCGACTGGAAGTCCGGTTCCCCCACCATAGAGTCTCCTCTCCTAGTACGGTATCCTTTTTCCTCTACCTGTCCAAACTCAAAATCCTATCAATTGTGGACCCGACTGGAAAACCTGCCCCTTGCCATAGAGTCTCCTCCTGGCACACCATGCTTCCCCCCCTCCCCCCCCCGGGAGCTCCTCTCAAAATTGTGGTGCCGACCAGCAACAGGGAGCCACAGCAGAGGGATGAAAGAGCCACATGCGGCTCCAGAGCCGTGGGTTGCTGACTCCTGCCTTAACCCAATGTTCCAGAATCTGGAAAACTGAAGTATGGAATAACTTCAGAACGGCATTGGATGTCGAGCTGGCTCCAGCCTTTTGACTTTTTGTACAATGTCATTCTTGAATATAAAGATTTGTTTATGTGTGTTTTTCCCCGGCAGGTATGATAATGAATATGGGTACAGCTGCCGTGTAGCAGATCTCCTGAAGCACATGTACAGCAAGGAAGAGATTTGAACCCTGAGTCCGAGTTACATTCCAGGCTATTCAATTGAGGGCCTCACCACTTTTAGTCAATAGATTCTTTGCTTCAACCACAGAATCCTAAACACTGCACTTTGTGTAAAGCTTTGTGTGTACGTGTGTGCGTGTATATCCGTGAGCGTGAATCCTTCTTTCCACAGCAGCTTATTTAGTGAAGATAAATTGCACCAAAGTTCCTCCCCGGAGAAGGAGTCTCGTCTCTGGGGTTATGCATTGGTTTGTGTGGCTGTAGCGTCTTCAAGATCTTGCAAGTGTTGAAATAAAAACCACTGGAGTTAAACTGGCCTTGATTTGTATCCATCTGATCTTAACGTCTTAGGGATTTGGAATTCGTGCTCTTGATCATGCCAAACGAATGTGCTTTGGGAGGTTTCTGAGCACTGAAAACTGCCATTTCCCTGGGAACTTTTGTTTTGCTTCGATTTATATTCATGGATAATTGTCTCATAAGAAAAACTCTCATTGTGCTTTGTACAACCACACCAAAACTATAGCCAGTGATAGTTTGAACTTGTCAGAAATCAGCATGGATTACAAAGGTTAAGCAAATCCTGCTCTCTTAATCACTCTTTTGAATGGTGTCAGAGGATTCTTTCTGACACCATAATAGGCCATATTTCTGAATGGAATCATTTTGTACATGCAGAAGAAGGAACTGTTTGGAAATGCAGCAATGATCAGGGTTTTACTTTTATTTTACTCAAGACCTCTTCTTAAAATCCTTCAGTGATGGAGCACCCACATCTGAAGGCAACTGTTCCATTGGTTAATTGTCCTCACTGCAAGGACATTTCTCCTCAATTCCAGGTTGCTTCTCTCCTTGATTATTTTCCATCCATTGTTTCTTGCCTTGCCTTCTGGTGCTTTGGAAAACAAGCTGACCCCCTTCCTCTTTGTGGCAGCCTCTCAAATACTGGAGTATTGCTCTTAAGTCCCCCCTAGTTGTTCTTTTCTCTAGACTAGGCCAAACCCAAATCCTCCAACCGTTTTTCATATGTTTTAGCCTCCAGGCCTTTGATCATCTTAGTTGCTCTTCTTTGCACTTCCTCTCCCCCTCAAAGTCTCAACATCTTTTTTTGTAATGTGGTGACCAAAACTGGATGCAGTATTCCAGATGTGGTCTTACCAAGGCTTTATAAAGTGGTACTATAATACTTCACGTGATTTTGATTCTATGCCTCTGTTTATACAACCCAGGATTCTATTAGGTTTTTTGGATGCTGCTGCACACCATGGACTCATGTTTAAGTAATAGTCAACCAAGACTCCAAAGTCCCTCTCAGAGTTATGGTTTTGGAGGCAGGTTTCGCCTAATCTGTACTTGTGCCTTCAGTGTTTTCTGCCCAAGTGTAAAACTTTGGGGGCGAGAGGTGGGAAAGGCACAGTATTCACAGGTGCCCAGCTTTTCCGCTGCTGGATGAGTAAGAATGGAAGATGCAGCATGACTTAAACCGATCAAGTGTCCATGGAGATTTCTCAGTCATCCCAGGTCATGGTTGTCCCAAGGGTGCTTTTTCAAAAGGCAACCAGACTTTCGTTTTTTTTTCTTTGAAGACCTTTCGCTTCTCATCCAAGAAGCTTCTTCAGTTCTAAAGAAGCTTCTTGAATGAGAAGCGAAACACTTTCAAAACCACCTTTGGGATAAACCGATTAAGAACTGCAACTTTCCTGTGATGTACTTTTCGTGGAAAAAATGCAATAAATGAGATATCCGGAGCATTTCTGTAAACATATCCAGACTCCAGAAGAACCGTCTGCAAAACGAAGCGGGGAAAAGCATTTTCTACACTTTCTTTAGTTTAGTTTAGTTTAGTTTATTTGATTTGTATACCGCCCTACTCCCGAAGGACTCAGGGCGGTGAACAGCCAAGCAATAAAATACATAAATACACAAAATTTAAAACCAGATAAAATCAAATTAAATCATTTTGGCCCAGACAGATTAAAACACCCCAATAATTTAAAAACAGATTAAAATTTACATATTAAAAGAGGGAGGAGATTAGGCCAAGCCCGCTTGATGGAATAAAAAAGTCTTCACAGCGCGGCGGAAGGTGCGCAGATCCGGAATCCTCCGTATCTCCGGGGGGAGCTCATTCCAGATCGTAGGTGCCCCCTCAGAGAAGGCTCTCCCCCTGGGGGGCGCCAGTCGACATTGTTTGACTGACGGCATCCGGAGGAGCCCCTCTCTATGAGAGCGTACTGGCAGGTGGGAGGCTATTGGTGGTAGTAGGCGGTCCCGTAAATAACCAGGCCCTAAGCCATGGAGCGCTTTAAAGGTGGTAACCAAAACCTTGAAGCGCACCCGGAAGACCACCGGGAGCCAGTGCAGCTCGCGCAGGAGAGGTGTCACATGGGAGCGCCATGACGCTCCCATTACCACCCGCGCGGCCGCACTCTGCGCAAGTTGGAGCCTCCGGGTGCTCCTCAAGGGGAGCCCCATGTAGAGAGCATTACAATAGTCCAGGCGGGAGGTGACGAGGGCATGAGTGACCATGCGTAACTTTAAAAAAAAACAAACTTTATTAAACATAAAAAGATAAAATATCAAATCAAGTACATACAAAATACATTTATATTCACTCCATAAAATAGAAAACAATACAAAACAAAACCAACTATATATCTATATATCTATATAAATAGATAGATGAAAGATAGATGATTGATAGATGATAGATAATAGATGATTGATAGATAGAAAGTAACTTATTTTCTACACTTTCATTGAACTCCCGTAGTCCAAATTAGATTAGAGAACTACAACTCCCATCCATTTGTGCCCACTCACCTTCCGACAGCGATTCCCAGAATGCACCGCTCGGCAGGCGCGCCGCCTCTCCCCCCTCCCTCCTTTTCGCTCCAGCGATCCTCCCCTCACACCGCCCTCCGCGTTAAAGCCGACGTGATTTAAAACGAACGACTACGACTCCCGCCATGCACCCTTCCTCCCTCCCTCCCTCCCTCCCCCGCTACGACCAAACCTCTAGGCATTATGGGGATTGTATTACATCGCGTTCCCTGGGCTCTATGGAAAAAGAAGCTGGCGGCCGCGGGAAAGAACTACAATAACCGCCGTCAAACGGGCGCCGACGGAGGAGGGCGGCGCAGGCGCAGATGCGTTTGAGGAGGAGGCGGAGGCGGGAGGAGGACGTGTATGTGAAGGGAAAAGAGGACGGGGGACTTGATGAGGGAGGAAAAGGGGTTTGGGGGCTTCCCTCAGCGGAGAGCTCCGTAGAGAGGCGCGCGGTGCTTTTGTGGGAGCGCTTCTCGAGCGGTGGGTCGGGGGGTGCTGGTCCTGAGGCGCTTCCAGTCGGGACCAAGGGCAGCTCGGGGTGTGGTGGGGGAGCTCCGACCTTCCAAGACTTGCCAGAGCCGCCTCCAGTCCCGTCTCCCTGGCAACGCTGGCTGTGGCTGATGGGGGTTGTAATCTGCTGGAAGGGAGGTCGTTGGGGGAAGGGCAAATTGGGAGGTTGGGGGGGGGAAATGTGTGTGTGTGTGTGTGTGTGAGGCTCTGGGTATACAGGTAATCCTCGACTTAAAACAGTTCATTTAGTGACCAAAGTTACAACCGCCCTGAAAAAAAAAACCCGTGACTGTTAGGACCCCTTTTTTCCACAGTTACGGCCTTTGCAGCATCCCCAGGATCAAAATTCGGATGCTTGGCCACGGATTCATAGTTAACGACCGTTGTTGTGTCCTAAGGTCATGCAATCCCCTTTTAACGACCTAACCGGCGAAGTCAATGGGGAAGGCCAGATTCACTTAACAACTGGGTTGCTAACTCATTCACTGCAGCGATTCGCTTAAAACAGCCGGGGCAAGAAAGCTTGTAAAATGGAGCAAAGCTCACTTAACAGATGTCTCCCTGAACAACAGAAATGTTGGGCTCAATTGTGGCCGTAAGCCGAGGACCTCCTGTATTACTATTAATTAATTTTTTTCTCCCTCTTGTCTCTCCATAGGAACATCACCACGGTACTAGGTGGCAAAAGTCAGCCCGCCTGTTTGCCAAGATGACTCTTTTCCACTTTGGGAATTGTTTTGCCCTGGCCTATTTCCCCTATTTTATCACCTATAAATGCAGTGGCCTGTGAGTGTCTTTCTTACTTGGAAGAGGGGTATGTGAGCATATTATATGCTGATACTGACTGTGAGATAGAAATTGTGGCTGCTTACAATATCGGGGGCTGCGCTGTAGTTCAGAGACAGTCTCTAAACCAGCGTTTCTCGATTTTGGCAACTTTAAGCTGTGTGAATTTTTTTTTTAACAAGTTTTATTTATATCACATTCAATTTTCATCAAACTGTGTGTGATCTGGGTACACTTATATTTGAGTTGTCATAATACAACACTTTGTTGTGGTATTCATCATTATAATATTAATATACTAACATAATAATATACTAACAGTAATATTTAACATCTTCTTATTTAACAACTCTCCACTTTAACATTTCCTCTTTTTATATCTCCTCCTTTTTAACTTCTGTTTCTGTTGCCTAGCCATTGATAAAATATGTCCCATATCAAATAATATTCAGTTTCTTCTTTGTCCTTAATAATAAGCATTAGTCTATCCATTTCTGCGCATTCTAATATTTTCTTAATTACATTCCCCTCAGACGGGATCTCATCATTTTTCCATTGTTGCACAAATACAATTCTGGTTGTTAGTATATGCAAGATCAAATATGTAGTCTTTTTGTCATATTTTTCTGGTTTCAGGTCTATATGCTGTTTAAACTTCTACTGCCTGAACTCTGCAGCCAAAGTTACAGAGTTGAAAAACTTAGTTCTTTAGTTCCCTTTATGGTATTTACCCTGCAGAATTTAACACCTAATGGTGTAATGTATCAAGTTTTACTTTTTGCATGGCCGGCTGGGGAATTCTGGGAGTTGAAGTACACAGATTTATAAAGTTGAGAAACACCACCTTAATACAGCAGTAACTACTGTTCAATGCACCAAAAAACCTTAAGGCTATTTTTTTTTTTAAAAAAAATACTTTTAATCCATCCTACCAGCAGATTAACTTTCTCCAACAAAAGCTATTTCACAGCCAGAAGCTTATCAGTGCTGGGCCAAGAGTTAAGATAGCTTTGCCCAGACACACAGACTCCAGGCTGGGACTGCTACCTTTGCCCCTAGCTCCTCCCTGAGGGGCAGTAGTTGCCTGGCAGGTGAGAAAAAAGGGGAGGGGGCTCTTCTCTTGCCAAGGAGGGACTGCAAACCCTGAACTGGATTCCTGGCTTGGAAAAAAAATCTGGGTGTGGCTG